ACACACACACACACACACACACACACACACACACACACACACACACACACCTCCCCCAACCATCCCACCCCAACCACCACAGGTGACGGCCGGGCCCTCGCACATTGCGCTGTGGTCTGGCGACGTGAGGAGTGTGTCCCACAGCCTGTCGCCGTTCACGCCATCCGCCAACCCCGCGCTCTTGGAGGCGTTTGCGCGGCTGCTGGAACAATTTGCCGGCTCCGACATTACGCAAGACGAGCATGCCACGGCGGCTGCGGTGTCTACGTGCTGTCTTCTCGAACGCACATTCCAGGTACTGCGTGCTGTCAAATACGAGAATCATGACTGAACCGTTCTTCCAACCACACACACACACACACACACACATGTACAACCTGCATGATGGCAAGCATCCACTGATCTCCCTTTCCTCCCCTCCCCCCCCCCAACACACGCAGGTTGCCAGCCGCAATCGACTCGGAGACATTTCGTCAATCCGTGCGCGGCTCCGGCAGCCGCTGCTTGACCTGGCCGTCGGCACGCGGCCCTGTCCCGACCAACTCCGCACTGCAGCTCGCTTCTGGTGAGATGCATGAACACAAAACACACCACACATATACAAACACACACACATTCACACACACACAACACACAACACACAACACACGCAACACACAACACACAACACACACACAAACACACACACATTCACGCACACATTCTCACATTCCCCCCTCTTCCGCCCCCCCCCCAACCACAGCGTGCTGCAAGGGTGGGATCTGCTGGATGTCCCCGACAACGACCGGCAGCTGCTGCTCGAGTCAATCACGTCAATCGTGTTCAGGTCGCGCGATCCGCCGCCAACAGCAGAGGAGGAGGCCGCAGCGCGCCAGATGCTGCGCACGCGTTGGAAATGCCTCATGCCCATGAAGGAGCGCCTGCGCTGGCTCTCTCGCCTCCTGCCAGAGAGCCTTGCCAGCACCCAGCAGCAGCAGCAGCAGCCGCGTGAACAACGCAGCTTCGATAGCGACAGCAGCACGGGCCGCCCTGAGAGCAGAGATAGCACGGCAACGGCCAGCAGGCCAGCGGACCAGCAGGGCGGCGATGGTGCTGGCTCCGGCCAAGCGACAGCGAGCACAACGGCAACAACGACGGCAACCACCTCGCCCACATCAGCAGCAGCAGCAGCAACAACAGCAGCAGCAGCAGCAGATGGTGGCGGCGATGAAACCCGCACAGGGCACCAGTTTATGGTGTCAGTGATTGTCAACAGCCTGTTTCAGCAAGGGGTGGTGGAGCAGGCCGTCAATGCCTTCTTCAACAGCCCACCCAGCCAACAAGAGCAGTTTCTCTTCCAAGCAGACTTGCTGCTGTCATCGCCGCTGCCGTCGCCCGCGCTCACACCGAGCGGTCTAGGCAGCGCTCGCTCAAGCTCGTTCGACGTGACGGCCGGGCAGCAACAACAGCAACAGCAGCGGCAGCAGCAACGGGCAAGCAGCAGCACCCCGCTGACGCCGACGACCACCACAAACATGCGCCTGCTGACGCAACGGAGCCAGCTGTCGAGCCAGGCGGAGACCTCGGTGTATTCGCCGACGGGCTTTGATGAGAGCGGGTCCTCCTCTCGCATCATGTCCCCGCCAGCAACGGGCCAGTTGCCCCCATCTACGCCGCGTGCGGTTCGCATGGACGCATTCGAACAGAGCGGGGGCCACACGGCTGTCGGCCTGGCCACAGACCTGCAGTCCATGCTGTTTCTCCTCAACATCTTTGTCACGACAATGAAGACGCGGACTGAGCAGGTGGCGCAGCGCATCCACCGCCGTCAGGACATCCCCTCCGCAGACAGCGACGACATTCTGCTCAAGCTGTGCCACCGCTTCCTGCGCTCCTTCTTCGCCCAGCTCTTGTTTGAGCACGACACGGTGGACGACCTCGCCGAGGACCCTCCCACCGCACAGCCAACCGACCCGCAACAACCGCAACAGGAGCAAGCGGGGCAGCCAGGACAACAACAACAGCAGCAGCAGCAGCCTGCGTCGAGTAGCTCAACGCACACAGCAAGCGCCGCTTCTCGTCCTACCACCACCGCCACCACCACCTCTTCTTCGTCTGCAGTTGATGGCGACTCCACGCCCGTACCGGGCTCAGCAACAGCGAGCCGGACCGCCTCTGACGTTGCTCCCTCCACTGCAGAGGGAGGCGATGAAGAAGAGGAGGATGAGGACGAAAGGGAGGAGATGGACAGCGGCAGCAGCGCCGCACACCGCGGTGACATGGACGCCGACGGGTCTGCCTCGTCCACACCCGTTGGTGCTGCCGATGCGTCTGCGCGCGTGGACATGAGCATGAACAGCACGTTTGACGCCGATAGCAACGCCGACGTGCTCAGCGCTCCTGCGGGTGACAGTGGCAGCGACATTCCAGCCGTGCCCACAACGGCAGCAGCAGCAGCAGCAGCAGCAGCAAAGGGCCCACAGTACAGCAAAGGCCACATGCTCGGCATCCGGTTACTCACGTTTACGCTGGATCTGCAGCACCGCGTCGTTGAGGAGTGCGTGGCGCGCGAGGTTGCGCCCGACCAGGTCTTGGAAGTGTGCCGCAGCCTCCCCGTTGCCGTGCTGGGCGAGCTGCTGGTGACACTTGCCTCTGCCGCCAAGCAGCGCGATGCCCTCGCGTCGTGCTTTGTGTCGGAAGGCCTCAACAACGCCTGCCGTTTGCTCACAGCGCTCAACCAGCTGCTGGACGCAATGCCCTTTACCCCGGAGGCCGTGCAGGCGCAGTTTGCCTTTGAGACCAAAACCATGTCCAGCGACACGGAGGCGCAGGCGCTGCCATCGCACACGGTGCTGGACCTTAGCCAGCAGCTTGCCTTCTCCATCTCCTCCTGCCTCGTTGCAGACTGCGCGAGCGAGGCGATGCGCCTGGACGTGGTTGGCCCCAGCGTGGAGGACGGCGTGCTGGAGAACGCGGCGTTCAGCGCAGGCCTGGCGCGTCCATCCGTGTTGGAGCACGCACACTGGCAGCGGGTGCTGGACAGCCAGCTGTCGCCAAGAGACGCGTCCCCACAGCGCCGCCCATCCACGGCCCCCACGTCTATGACAACAACGCCAACGTCGTCGCCCGCCACAACGCGCGCAGCCGCAGCAGGCAAGAAGACGCGCGGGGGTGAAGAGGACACTGCTCGGCCCGGTGATGCCGGCGCGACGGCTGCGCACATGGAGGTGATTGAGGAACAGGATGGTGAAGCCAATCAGCAGCGTGTTGGCGACGCGACAACGCAGCCAGGGCAAGTTGAGGCGCAGCAAGAGGGCGAGCAGGACAGAGCCCACGCAGAAGGATCGACAAGCACAAACACCGGCGCCACAAAGCCGTCGTCGTCAGCATCAAGTAGGGTGGCATCCAAATCGACGCTGAGCGTGGATGTGCAGCACGGCAAGGGCAAGTCTGTGTCCGCTGGCGCAACCACGCGCCCCAGCCCCGTTCCAGGGACAACTTCGACCACAACAGCGACCACAACCGCGTCTGCAACAACAGCCACCGGCGCTGCGCCATCAGCAACCACATCGTCGCCCACAGCTGTTGACGCGAGTGGCGATGGTGGGGAAGGAGAGGGTGACGCAGACGCGAGCACATCGCTGATTGACGTCATGTACAGCTATGCGCAGGAGAACAACCTTGGGCTGAGCCTCCCGCGCACGCACCTGGTGTGGCGCGTGACGGCTGCGTCGCTAGTTGTGCTCGCCCGCCACCTTGGCCTGACACCGTATCTGCAGTCGGTGCAGACGATCCGCGACGTCGACGCAAACCCGCTGCTGGCGGAGGTGGTCAAGGTCGCCGTGCTCATGCAGCCGCACGTCATGCGGCTCAAGCAGGAGCTGCGCATGTCTGACGCCGACCTCCGTGCACGCACGCACCACATCTGCATGTTCTTACTCACCCACGTGCAGCCCACCTCCAGCGGCGTGACAAGCGCCAGCGCTTCTGCCGCAGAAGCACCAGAAGCAGACAGCAGGTGGCACCAGAGCCGCGCGCGCGTGTCTGTGACGGCGGCGCCACCGCTTGACCCGCAGGCGCTCTCGACGCGCGTCAACCTGGACTCGAGCGAGCCCTTTGACGAGCTGGACGAGCAGGGGCGTCAGGCCGTGGAGGACCTGCAAAGCGGACTGGAGGGCCACGACCGGGAGACGCTGGCGCAGAACGCCCCGTCCCACCCCTGGTTCATGCTCAACGCGCCGCAGCAGACGTCCCTGCGCGCTATCCCAAAGGAGCTGGCCGAGCTGATTGTCAGCTTCCTCCGCCAGCCGTTTGCGCTGCGGGAGGTGCGCGAACAGCTTGTGGCGCGGTCTGCGCTGGCCCAGAGCCGCATCAAGGTCCTGCGACGCCTGTGCAACCTCATTGAGCTGCCCATCACCATGCCCGTGCGCTACCAGCTCCTGTGCGGGCTGCTTGACCCGCGCGCCAACCCGTACCCGTTTATGCCGCTTGGCCGCTACATGGACGGCATCTCCTGTGCCGCTGCCGCGGAGAAGCGTGAGCTGACCGAGTACCACACGCGCGTCATGGGCCACATCCTGGAGCTGCTGCAGGTCTCCTGCTCCCACCTCCTGCGCGACCTCAACGAAACAGGCGAGGCGTCCACCCTGCCACTGCGCATGCTGCACCTGTGCCAGAACCTCCTCATTCAGCCCCACGAGCCGCCGGCGCTGGAGCAGATTCTCACGTCCGACGCCTTCCACGCGCTCGCTGACGTGTGCTTCCGCGTGCCCTCCATGGTTGAGACACAGCTGCATGCATCGCAGCGAGCACGGTCAGCCGCCACTGCCGCCGCCCCCACCGCCTCTTCCTCTTCGTCTTCCTCTTCAGCTGCCCGCCCGTCCACGGGGGCACCATCATCATCCGCATCGACAGCGCTCGGTGGAGGCGCCGGAAGCGGTGATGACAGTGTTGCGGAAGGGCTGGCGCTCTTTGATGGCATTGAGTCCATCAAGGTGAGCACCAACTCGGGCATGGCCGGCGCGCTGCAGGACCCATCACCGTCCACGCTGTGGGAGAGCAACGGGCGGCGCGGTGCACACTGGGTGCTGATCAGAACCCGCCCCGGCACGGTGGTGCATCGCCTGAGCATCACGCCCGCATCTTCAGACTCGTTTGCACCGCGGCAGGTGGTGGTGAGCGCGGGCACGGACCCGGCCAACCTGACGGAGGTGCGCCGCATCAACTGCTCCCAGGCGCTGGACCCAAACGAGGACATTGTCATCCTCGATCGCGCACGCCAGCACTACCCGTACATTCGCCTGGACGTGTCATCGTGGGGCATCAACGTGCGCCTGCGCCGCGTGTCTGTGCAGTCGCTTGACCTGGCCTCCTTGCGCGCCCACATTGCCGGCAAGCCGGGGAACCGGCGTGTTGGCCGGCGCCTCTTCAAGTACCTCGCCCTCTCCGCCAGCACCTGTGTGGACAAGCTCTCAGACACCGCGTTGGCAGAGCTGGTGGAGCAGTGCCGTGTTGCGCTGCTGCAAGGCGCTGACGACCACAAGGCGTCCATGCTGGCCGTGTTCCGGCGCATGGCCTGCAGCACGCGCCTGCAGGTGCTGTTCTGCGCGACGCCCTGGCTGGACATGCTGCTCGACCTCTTCCGCGACGCCACCACCACCGCCCGCATCTTCGTGCTGCGCTTCATGGCCGCCGCGCTGCCGGGGCTCGCCTCGGAGTCCAGCAAGTCCACCGACGTGCGCATGCTCATTGAGCAGCTCATGCGCGCCGTGTCCGACTTTACAGACATGACGGGCACGCCGGAGAACGAGGCCGTGCTGGTGGAGCTGATTGACATGCTGCGCTCGCTGCACTCGCTGCCCGGCTGGCGGGACTCGCTGAACGAGGTGATTGTGCAGGACCTGTTTTCCCTGCCGCACCAGCGCGAGCGGCTGCAGGAGGGCACGTACATCCGCGAAGAGGTGCGCGGTGTCCTGGGCACGCTGACCATGGTGGGCTTGGAGGCCCCGCGCTTCCGCATCGGCGCCACCTGCGAGCATACGCTTCGAGGCACGGGCACCATCACGGAGCTCAACGAGTCAACACTCAAGGTGGAGTTCCATGCCGTCGACGATACGGACGGCCCGCTGGTGCTCTCGCTCGCAGACGCAGAGAAGGAGCTCTCCGTGGAGGTGCTGCGGCCCTTTGACTTTATGGTGGCGTGCAACACGGGGCACGACCGCATGGCCTTCCGTACGCTCCTGTTTGAGGCATTCTCCTCCTGGCCAGACCACATCCTGTCCCAGAAGATGCAGCTGGAGATGCTGCAGGCGTGCAAGCTCTTCTTCCGCACGCCGGTGGCCTTTGATCTGTTCCTTGAGGAGCAGCAGTCCGCCACGCCCAAGGCGCCCTCGTCCCGCTCCTCGTCGGTGTCCACCGCGGTGGGTCCGCTCGGCTCGCCCGCGACCACCAGGGCAGGCGACGTGGACAAGGCGCGCTCGCGGCCTGCGCGGCGGAAGAAGCGCCGCAAGCACAGGCGTGACGGCTCTGCCCGCCGCACGCGCACGCACAGCGGCCGGCGCTCTCGCAGCCGCAATGCCAGCGACCGCAGCCCACGCAGCGTGGATGTTGGGCTCCCCATTGAGGTGGAGGTCGGCGCCACCGATTCGACGCCGCCACCTACAGCCTCTGCTGCAGATGAGGCTGCCGGCCGCGGAAACAGCAGCGGTAGCAGCAGTGCCAGCAGTGTTGGTGCCCCTGACAGCGCAACCACAACCACAACCACAACCACAAACACAAACACAACCACAGCCACAGCTACAGGCACAACCACAGCTGCAGGTACAGGCACAGCGGCAGCGACAGCAACATCTGCGACATCTGCACGTCGCCGTGACGAGGATGATGATGGTGATGATGATGGTCCCAACGGTGCGGAGAACGGCAGCCTGAGCCAGACAGAGTCTGATGACTCTGGCTCGGATACCGACAGCAGGACCAGCAGCGCGAGCGATTCGAGCGACGCCAGCGAGAGCGAAGGCGAAGGCGAAGGCGAAGAACAAGTCGTCGACGAAGCAGTGGCTGAGCAGCACGGGGTGAAGCGCTCCACGTCCGCCTCGCAGGAGGACAGGCGCTCCGTGGACACCAAGTTCATTGAGACCCTGCTCAACTGGTCCGTCGTGCCGAGCCCCGTGCGCGCAGAGTACGATTTGCCCAGTGTGGCCAGCGTGTGCTCTGAGGTGATCCAGTCGTTCCTGGCCAACGCGCCGCTGCGCAAGCCCGAGATTGACATGAGCGCGTGCGTGGAGGACGGGTACGATGACGTCACGGCCTCGTCCAACCCGGCGCACATCAAGGACCTGCTGGAGAAGACGCACAACACCTACTGGCAGAGCTGCACGCGGCAGGACGAACCCTGGGTGCGCGTGTTCATGAAACCCAACCAGTTTATCAGCGTGCTGCGCATTTACCACGACCCGCAGGACGCGTCCTACATGCCCAAGGAGGTGCAGGTGTCTGTGGGCCCGTCGGCCGGCGAGCTCACGCCGCTGCCGCCAGTGCAGATTCCACACGACTCCACGTCCACGGTGCTGCTGGAGGGCGCCGACCGCTACCACCGCGTCGTGCAGATCACCATCAAGCAGACGCACAACGGTGGCGTGGACACGCGCATACGGCGGCTGGAGGTGCTTTCCGGGCCAACGCGCCACGCGCAGAAGAAAACGTCGCTGGAGGACCTGCTTGCGCCCACGCCAGAGGTTGCCCTCGCCTCGGGCGGCAAGTCGGCTGACAGCGAAGAGCACGAAGGCGGCGAGGGCGGCGGTGCTGCCGGTGGTTCTGGGCGGCGGCGCATCCGTCACGCTCGCCACGACAGCAGGGAGGTGGAAGAGCTGCTGGAAACCTTGATGGAGCACCACGACGACGCTGCCGGGGCTGGCGATGGCGATCGCGGCGAGCCAGCATCATCATCATCTCCAACCGAGCACGGCCTCCGTCACCACCATCGCCACGGTGCGTCGCACACCTCCGGCAACGATGCCGAAAGTCATCATCACCATCACCATCATCACCATCGTCATCGCCAGCAGACCCAAGAAGGCATCCCAGAGGCAGCGGAGCCGGATGACGAAGCAGGGTATGGCGAGACAGGGGAGGCAGCACGCCTGGGCCCACTCGCTGCCGGTGGCAACAACAGGGATGGCGGTGATGGCGGCGGGTCATCCGCCAACACGGGCGGCGCCAACGGCGGCGGGAGCATGTCGTCAACTGCATCCGCTGCGACCGGTGGCCGCTACTCGCACCAGCGACCCAGTGATTTGGTTGCTGGCATGTTTGAGCCCTTCCAGCGCCGTCGTGGTGATGCCAGCGGCACGGGAAGCGGCGTGGCTGCAAGTGTTTCCACAGCAGCAGGCACTGGTGCCGACGCAGCCACAGCAGCGCGTGGTTCTGTTGGCGGCGCCGGTGGTGAGCGCCATCACGACGACGACGACGACAACGACGACGACAACGACAACGTCAGCATCACCTCAGAGACGGGCAGCGTCAGCAGCGCGCGTGCAAGCGCGTCGCAGCTTCCGCTCCCCGTGGCCTTCGTGTGGGGCGCCAACGCGGGCGGGCAGATGGACTCGCTCTTCTCCGGCGCACAGGACATGTCGCAGGTGCCCAAGCCAAAGCTGTGCACGCTGCTCCCGCGCGGGCTGCAGGTGGCCAAGATGTGCATCCAGAAGGAAGGCGTGGTGGTGCTGGGCCACAACGGCGCCCTGTACGCGAGCGCGCACTCGGGTCCACTGAAGCGGCTGCTGCCGCACGGCCCAAAGGTGGTGGACGTGGCGTACGGCGGCTACCACACGCTGGTGGTGACGGAGGACCACCGCCTGCTTGTGTGCGGCACGGGCAAGAACGGTAAGCTTGGTTTGCGCGACACGCGGGACCAGTCGTCGCTGGTGCCCGTGCCTGGCCTGCGGGATGTGCTGCGAGTTGCGTGCGGTCGCCGCCACAGCGCAGCCGTCACAGCCACGGGCCAGCTGTACATGTGGGGGTGCAACCACCACGGCCGGCTCGGCCTGGGCGATCAGAACGACCGCTACGAGCCTACCCTCGTGCCAAACCTGCCGCCCGTGCAGATGGTGGCGTGCGGGGACAGGCACACCCTCGTGCTGACGCAGCGCGGTGGCGTCTACTCGTTTGGCTGCGGAGACCAGGGCCGGCTTGGCATCCCGGAGGCCCCGCACAAGCTGCTGCGCCCGGCCAAGCTCGACTTTGGACGTGCGCGCATGACACGCGTCATCTGCGGCTGCAACTCCTCTGCTGCGCTCACTGACACGGGCCAGCTGTATGTGTGGGGCACCGGGCGGTCGTACCGCTTGGGCACGGGGTCCATGACCTCGCACATGCTGCCCATTCGCGTGACAGACCTCGCCTCGCACAAGATTGTGGACGCCAGCCTCGGCCACGAGCACGGCGTCGCCGTCTCGGAGACGGGCGATGTGTTTGTGTGGGGCAGCAACGACTCGAGCCAGCTGGGCGGGGCAACGGCAGACGCCGCCGCACCGCGCCCACTGCTCCACCCGGAGCTGCGCGGCAAGGGCCTGAACCGGGTCAGCTGCGGCAGCAGGGCCGTGGCGGTGTGGCGCGATGCGGCCAACGCCGTGCCGGAGGAGGAGCGAAGCGATCAGCCGTTCACAGAGCCCATGCCCGTGCCGGAGGACCGGCTGGGCCGCATGTGCATTGAGGAGCGCGACGACTCGAGTGTGGAGCGCATTGTGGAGCAGGTGGGCACGTCGCCACCGCTGATGGCGCTGGTGGCCCACCTGCCAGACCCGGAGGCGCAGCAGAAGTCTGTGGCCTACTTCCTCAAGGCCATGCGCGTGTATCAGGCCCGGCAGCTGGTCACGCTGTGGCTTTCGAGGGGCGTGCATGCGCTGGAGGGCGTGCCGTGGGGGCCGGACCGCCTGCTGCTGGTGCTGATTGACCTCATGCGCGTGTTGTCTGTGCGGGCGGCGGCAGATGAGCCGTGCCGCGTCATCTCCGCGGCCATCCACACCCTGTGCGGGAAGCACAGCCACCTCTCGCGCGTGCTGGTTGAGATTTGCGTGATGGAGACCAAGCGTGCAATGCCCTCGTCAAACCTGGCAGAGGACGGCATGGTGACGGATGAGATGCTGCTCACGCGCGTGTGCAGCCTGGGTCTGATCCGCGCCACCATTGACTGCACCATCTCCTACTCGTCCAACCTGTCCATGCTGCGGCTCTCCCATGCGCTCGCTTCGCTGTGGATCAGCAACCCCGCGAATCGGGTGCGCCAGTGGGTGCTTGCCCGCCTCAACACGCTCCTGCACAACGGCAGCCGCGACTTCTTGAGCGAGCTGCGGCGCTTGGTGCACTTCCGCGAGCAGGAGTCTGGCCACCAGCAGGAGGAGGCTGCAGCCGCCACCACCACAGCCACAGCCGCGCTGGCGACCGAGGGCGCGGGTGCCCGTGACACGGGCGTGCTGGAGCTTCTTGGCTCCTCAGCGTCCACCGGCGTTGCTGCCAGTAGCAGTGGCGGTAATGGAGGCGGCCGGGATGGAGCGCGACGCGCCCGTGAGCAGAGGCACCACCACATGCAGCTGGAAGCACAGCACCAACACCAGCAGCAGCGGCGGGGCCAGCGGATGGAGCGCGGCGGCCTGCGGGGCGACGAGCAGCCCCAAGAAGAAGAGCAACAACAACAACAACAACAACAACAACAGCACGGCCACCTCCGCCAACGGCGCCACCCACAGCAGGAGCTGCGCCCGCATGGCGGTGACGATACCGTCGACGAGGGCGCGCTGGGGCGTGAGGCCATTGAACCGCTCGTCGCACGCGGAAGCGGCGGCGGCGACCGTGACGGCGGTGTTGGCGACGAGGAAGACAGCCTCAGCGCCACGGAAACCAGCACGATATCGCGCATGGGTGCGAGCGTGGATGCGAGTGCGGCAGACGATGACGAGGAGGACGAGGACCTGGACACGGTCACCAGCGCCCGCAGCAGCAACGGGCGCAACAGCATCAGCACAAGCCCTCACGCTGCCGACGACACGTTTGACGACAGCGAGCTTGAACTGCAGACGTCCTCGCACAGCGGGTTTGACGACAACCGCAGCAATGATGGGCGTGCGCACGGTGTTGGCAGTCACCATGTCGGACGCAGTTCAGGCGGCACAGCGGGCGACGGCGGGGGCTCTGGCCCTCATCGCCATCATCAGCATCATCACCACCACCACCACCGTCACAGCCACCATCGTCACAGCCATCATCGTCACAGCCACGGCCACGGTAGGCACAGCCAAGAGCACCACGGGCACCACCACAGCCAGCACCACCATGCCCGCCGTCGTGGCAGCGGCGGGCACGGCATGTCGGGGTCGTCGTCGTCAGCGACGGGCGTTCCCTCGCGGCGCAGCGCCGGTGGTGGGCACACGGGCCGGGTGCTGAGCCTGAGCGAGTTTGCCTCGTTCAACGTGAGCGGCAGCGGGCACTTGAACGTGTGTGAGCTGAGCCTGCTGCTGCTGCACCGCGACGTGAGCAACTGCTACTTCCAGCTCGCGCACACGTTTGCGCAGGTTGGGCTGACGTTCTCGCACCGCTTTGACTACGAGGCAACGCACCGCTTCCTGCTGCAGACGCGCCTGCACAAGACGGCCCACAAGCCGCTGTTTGGCTCTGGCGACGACGAGGACGAGCTGCAGTCGAGCGTGGGCAGCGTGCTGCGGGAGTTCTCGCACAGCCTGTGGGCGACGCTTGAGATGCAGCACCAGCACGAGACGACGCTGGAGAAGGACGGGCGCATCCTCATGCGGTCCGACTTCAACCGCGTCATGTGCCGCGTTGCCGCCGGCCTGGACCTCCCACCGGGCAGCGCGGTGAGCAGCGCTGAGAAGCCGTCGTGGTTCCGCGTGTACTGCACGACGAGCCGCGAGTTCAACCGCCTGGTGGACCGACGGCCGTTTACGGAGGAGTTTGCGCAGCGCATCAAGGCGGCGCTTGAAGGGCGCGGGGACGAGGAGGAGCCGCCGGAGGTGCGGGAGAGCCTGGGCTACCTGGACAACGGCGTTTACACGGCGCAGATGGACAAGTCGATTCTGCACTGGAAGGCGGAGGCGCCGCAGGAGCTGCGGCTGGCGTACTCGAAGGACGCGGCGCCGACGGTGAACATGCCGCGGCTCACGTTCCAGCCGCTCAACGAAGGGCACGTGAAGACGTCGAACAAGAACACCACGGTCATGATGCAGTCGGAGGCCTCTGAGGAGAACACGTGGGTGATGGCGGACGAGGTGCTCACCTCCGGCATGCACTACTGGACGGTGCGGTGCGACAGCAAAGGGTCTGCGCGCCGCTATGTTGGTGTTGGCGTCGGCAAACCAAACGCCGCGTACCCTCTGGGCGCAGCGCGCATCCTGTCCGAGGGCCTGCTCAAGTCCGGTACCTCTGCCATCAAGATCCCGCGCGGGTTCTCACCAAACGACATCATTGGCGTGTTCCTGGACCTGAACCGCAACATGGTGGCATTTGACGTGAACGGGCACAAGCGGGGCGAGATTGAGCTGCCCGGTCTTGCACCGGGCGAAGGCGTGCGTCCGCTCGTCTACCTCTTCTACCCCGGCGATCGGGTGCGTTTTTTGAGAGAAGTACATAATGTGTATATTTATGCGTGCGCGTGTGCATGTTTTGTGAGTGTACGGGTGTGCTTGTACACATGTGTGTCTGTACATTTGTGTTTGTACACGTGTGTATGTTGTTGGCAGTTCTCGCCCCGTTACCCACTTCACCCAACACCACCTCACCACTCAATACCGCACCACTCAATTCCCCACCACTCAATTCCCCACCATCCAACCCCTCCCCCCACTCAATACCTCACCACTCAATTCCCCACCACTCAATTCCCCACCATCCAACCCCCTCCCCCCCACCCAACACCTCACCACTCAATTCCCCACCACTCAATCCTCCCCCAACTCAATACCTCACCATCTGCCCCTCGCTTTTTCTTTCGAATTCCCCATGCAGATTTCGTTTGTGTATGGGCTGCCGCTGCCTGCGTGCTATCGCATGGGCAACGACACCCGCAGTCTGTTTGCTGTTGCTGGTCGCCGCGCCATTGTTCTCCGCGCGGCGCCATCCGTTGACTCGAGCCGCCTGGGCGTGCTGCCACCTGCGTCCTCGCACCACCGCCACCCGGTCGTGGTCATGGCGGTGGACTACCGCAGCAACCGCGAGGGCGTGTGGCTGCGGCTGGCCAACCCGGACAACAAGTGGGGCGAGGGCCAGTGCTGGTGTCTCCTGCGCGACCCATCCGGCGCGCAGAACCTGAACGCGGTCGACAAGGACATGGACCCGCGGCTGGTGATCAACTACACGGAGGAGGCGCCACCCGACACGCAGCTCGGGGCAGCCGGCACCGCTGCAGGGAAGAAGGTCGCGCAATGCATCACGACAGCGTCGCGGCACAACGTGCGGGCGGGGCCGAGCCTGGACGCGATGGTGATTGGCGGCATTGCACCGTCGATGATGGTGTACTACACGAGCAAGGTGAGCGAGGGCGGCGGGGTGTGGCTGCTGCTGGACGCGGAGTCGAAGGAGCGCGTGGTGGAGCCCAACATGCGGCACCTGGACGCGTATGTGCTGTTCAAGGGCAGCGACGAGGTGGCGTACTTCAAGCTGGAGGAGCCGCCACCAGTCATCACGGAGCCGCCGCCAGCGTACCCGGCCCTGCACGGCATCCCCGTTGGGCAAATCAAGCGGCGCTGCTTCCTGCTGGAGACGCTGAGCTCCTCTGTGCTGTCGCTGGCGAGCCTGATTGAGTTCCAGTCGATGGAGACGAGCGGGGGCGTGTCGCTCGGTCTCGGGGGTACACAGAAGTCCCTGCAGGCGCTGCAGGATCTACTGCTGCTGACGCACAAGGAGCGGCTGATCAAGGCGGTCATCTCGCGCACGATGGCGTCGTCGACGGTGCGCGTGACCATCACCCTCAACCGCGTGCAGATCCACCGGCAGCCGTCCGGCGTCGCCGGGATTTACGGGCAGAACTCTGTGTTTGCGCAGGCGTGCCGTGAGCTGCGCAATGCGGACCCGAGCGTGTTCCTGGCGCCCAACCGCTGCTGGAAGGTGAAGTTTGCTGGCGAGGGCGTGGACGACGCCGGCGGCGGGTACTCCGAGAGCATCTCGGAGATGTGTGAGGAGCTGGTCAACGGGTCCCTGACGCTGCTCATCCCAACGCCGAACAAGGTGCAGGACAGCGGTGACAGCCGCGACGTCTACCTCTTCAACCCGGCAGCCAACTCGCCCGCAGAGCTGGAGGTGCGCCTGTTGTTGTTGTTGTTGTTGTTGTGGGAGGGGGGAAAGAGGTATTGGAGTTGGGTGAGATGAGGTCTGGACTGCTTCTGTGCTGTTGTGCGTGTGTGCGTGTGGGTGTGTTTGTTTGGGGGAGGGGAGTTGGGGTCGTGTTGGGGTTGAGGCGTTCCTGCGCGTTGTACTTGTAACGAATGTAACTCACACTCACGTTGACTGCGCACGTGTGTTGTGGTTGTTTCAGCTGTTTGAGTTCTTGGGCGTCTTGATCGGCATCGCCATTCGCACCAACAAGTGAGGCCAAAGGCGTGTTTTCATGTGCGCATCTGCGGATGTATTTGTTTGCGGGAGCTGTCACACTCCTCGCTTCATATCCTCACTCTCTTCCTCACCTCCGCCATTATGTCGTGCAATTCTTGCTTTGCAGTCCGATTTCGCTACCGCTGGCTGGTCCCGTCTGGAAGCAGCTGACGTGAGTACTTGATGTTGTGCAATGTGTGTGTGTGTGTGCGTGTGCGTGTGTGTGTGTGCGCGTACGTGTGTGTGTGTGTGTGTGTGTGTGTGTGTGTGTGTGTGTGTGTGTGTGTGTGTGTGTGTGTGTGTGTGTGGGAGGTGCTCGATTACATGCTGTCAAGCTGATTGCAGACAGTCTTCATGTTGGACGATATCACTCTGCGAATCATTGCTAAAATGCATGTGTGTGCGTGTGTGTTTCGTGTTCAGTGGCGTTGCACTGACGATTGCGGATCTGCGCGAAGTCGACACGGATTACGTCACCACCCTCGAAATCATCAAGAGTGAGTCTGTGTGTGTGTGTGTGTGTGTGTGTGTGTGTGTGTGTGTGTCTACGCGCTCTCTGCTGTAAGTGCATACCGCCAGTTTCATCCCAACACTACTTGTGTGCCTTGCATCCTTGCACACACACACACACACACACACACACGCACACGCACACGCACGCACACGCACACACACGCACACACACAGGCCTGAGCGAGGAAGCGTTCTCCAGCTATGGTATTGGCGGCGACACACCGAGTACGTACTGCTCCTGGTCACTTGCACAGCAGCGGTGTGATGCAGCCGTGATACAAGGAGTGACAATCAAGGTTTGACTCAGTCTTCCTCGCTCACCTTCCATCCTCCTTACCGTCTGCCTGACCTGTTTGTACTTGTGTGCGCGTTGTGTGTGTGTGTGTGTGCAGGTGCGAAGGAAGGGCTGACATACCAGGTGCTGGACGTCCCGCGCCTCACGTCTGCCACCCGCGACGAATACGTGCGCAAGGCGCTCCACCTTCGCCTCCACGAGTTTGATGCACAGGTGCGATTGGTTGTGCATGAATGCGTGTATGTAAAGTGTGTGTGTGCATGTGTGTATGTATGTGCGTGCGTGCGTGCCTACCTGCTCTCATGGGCGCGGCTTTTCTTTCCACCGTGCATAATCAATCGTTCGTTCCTCTCTTCCCCGCTCTAACTTTGCACTCAACCAACAACCCCAACTGTTCCTCACGTCTGGTGCGCAGGTGCGGGCTGTGCGTCGTGGTGTTGCGCGCGTGGTGCCACTGCCGCTGCTGTCACTGCTGCAGCCAAACGAACTGCAGGAGTTTGTGCTCGGCAAGCAGGAATTCGATCTCTCCCTGCTGGTGCGTATTGCGTCGTGTTCACCTGTCACCCGTGTGCAACGTTTGGGGGCGAAGAGATTGCGATTTGTGAAAGTGGGTTGGCTCAATGGATGCTGTTGTCACTACTGTCGCTGTTGTCACTGCTCTTCATTTTGATTTACCACCTCATGTCACGACTCGTCCTTGACGTGTACCTTCTTCCTTCCGAGCAGCAAGTGATGACGCGCTACAAAGGGCTTCGCTCCAACTCTGCGCTCGCCGGGTGGTTCTGGGACGCCATCAAGGCCCTCACGCCCGTCGAACTCTCCCTCTTCCTCCGATTCGTCTCGTACGTTTGCGTGGCATGCATGTGCGCCTGTGCCTGCGTGTGTGCGTGTGCGTATGTGCGTGTGCGTGTGCGTGTGTGCGTGTGCGTGTGTATGTGCGTGTGCGTGTGCGTGTGCGTGTGCGTGTGCGTGTGCGTGTGCGTGTGCGTGTGCGTGTGCGTGCAGGTGTGTATTTTCGTTATTGTGGTTCGATACTCGTAATTGCACTGGCCAGTGCTCACGCGTGACTCACTCCCGCACTCCGAACCAATGCAACACCATGACTGCCTTTGATCATCCACACTTCAGGGGCCGCACGCGATTGCCGCGCACCCAGGCCGACTTTGAAGGAAAGCACTTTGTGCTACAGGCGCTTGACCGTTACGAGGCCGGCTCCAGCCACGCAGACAGCGCCCTCCCAGAGGCCATCACCTGCTTCTTTACCCTCAAAATCCCGAGGTGGGCTTTTGCGTGTACGTGTGTGTGTGTGTGTGCATGTGTGTGTGCATGTGTGTGTGTGCATGTGTGTGTGTGCATGCATGTGTGTGTGTGTGTTTGGTATTCTCTTGTGTGTCCGACGGAGAATTTCCACTTACACCTCCCAATGTACCGTGACTACTTCCTCCCCAGGTACTCGAGTTACGAGGTGTTGTTGAAGAAGCTTCGCTATGCCATCAACAACTGCAAGGCCATTGACACGGACAATTACGCCCGCACCACGCTGCCGCCTGGCTCGTGATGTTATTCTCGCGTGGAGTGAGAGAGTGTGTTTGTGTGTGTACGTTTGTGTGTGCGTGTGTGCGCATGTGTGTGTACGTTTGTGTGTGTGTGCGCTTGTGTGTGTGTGTGTGTGTGTGTGCGTGTTGATAGCAACTCAGCTCTCTTCCTCTCTTCTTCCACCTTTCTCTGTCGTGTCGCAGTGTGTACAAGAAAGTTTGTGGAAAATATAGCATAAGTTTCCGTTAACAACCATCACTTTTGCCAAGGAAGCCAAACCGACACTCACTACAACCAACCAACAACCAGCAAACACACCACCAGCAGCCATGGCAGACTACGAAGGCGTGGAGGATGTAAGTCCCATCTGCGCGTACGCTTGTGTGTGTGTGTGTGTGTGTGTGTGTGTGTGTGTGTGTGTGTGTGTGTGTGCGTGTGTGTGTGTGTGTGCGTGCGTGTGTGTGTGTGAATTTGTATCTTGTTTCAGCGCATCCCGCACGTTGTGTCCCGATCTACGTCGCTGTGTCGTCGAACTCATCCTGACTCACGCATCGTGTTTGGATTCCCCAAAGACATCCTTTAACGTGGACGATGTCAGCACCATCATTCGCGAGGTGAGGCAAAGTGGTGCTGTGTGTGCTGTGTGCTGTGTGTGTATGTGTGTGTGTGTGTTGCGTGCTCCGCTGTGTGCGCCACCACTCGTGTTTATCAACTTTCCGTTAGTCTACACTCACACACACACACACACACACACACACACACACACACACACACACGTATGCACTTTGGAGAGCAGTCGATTGAACAGAGCATCGGTCAGAGCAGTTACCAGCACTCAAAGGTGAACCAATGGACGTCAAACGTGGTTGAGCAGTGCCTGAAGCGCCTCACCTCCCTGGGAAAGCCTTTCAAATACATCGGTGCGTGTGTGTGCCATGTGTATGCTCAAGGGTGGTGGGCGTGTTGTTTCGTCGCTGTTGTAGATTGTAGGATTGCTGGATGATGTGAACCTGAGGGATATTGTGCGCGCTTCGCGTACAACCATGTTCCGTGTCCAACAACCATGCTTCGTGTACAACCATGCGCGGTGTCGTTTACAGCCCCCTCCCCCTTCCTTCATGCCCATCTCACCCCTTCGCACGCCTCTTCTTGCTTGTGCAGTCAACTGCGTCATGCTGCAAAAGAACGGCGCTGGCCTTCACACAGCAAGCTCCTGCTACTGGGACAACAGCACAGACGGTACGTGAGGATGATGTGATGGTTCGCAATGGAGCCATGGGCGCGCGTGCGTTGACATCGTGCACACGATTGCGCACCGCACTGCGCTTTGCCTCACTTCCACATGCACCCATTCACACCCATTCACACACAAACATACACACAAACACCCGCTCATGCAGGGAGCTGCACTGTTCGCTGGGACAACAAGACAATGTATGTTGTCGTGAGCGTGTTTGGCCTCGCCATCTGAGGAAAGGCGGCGCTGTTACCCGTTGTGTGCGATGTGTTTGGTCGCCTGGGGGGGATTGAAAGACAAGGAAGTATGCAGCACACGCGCGTGTCTGTATGTGGATGTGTTTGTGAATCGTCGTGCGCCCTTGTGTGCTGGTCTTGCAAATCGGAGTGGTGGGGACAGGTGTGTTGCTGTACAACCACCGTCCTCAAGTTGTGCGTACGTGTGTGTGTGTGTGTGTGTGTGTGTGTGTCAAGTGCGGTTGGTTCGCCTCTTGCTGTTTCATCATCATCATTGTACCAACCTCGAAACAACTGTTATCGTTTACTTCGTTGCGACTGCGCGCCTTTGTGGTGATTCGAAATGTACACGAGGAATCGCGGAGGGGAGAAGTGGTGATGCACGTGGTTGGTACATGGCACACGGCACACAAACTAGCGCTCAACACACACACACACACACACACACACACACACACACACACACACACACACACACACACACACACACACGCACACACACATACAAAGAGGTTGCTTAATCCGAGTCGTTGCCATCATCATCATCTTCATCGTTATCATCGCTGCCGTTGTCCTCCAGCTGCTTCTGCCTCTCAATAATGTCCTGGTTGTGGTGGTGGTGGTGATGGGATGGTGGATGAGTGTGGCATGGTGGGCAAGGTTGGTGTGCTGTGTTCGTTACAAAAGGCTTGCAAATGCACACAACGAAGAACAAAGGATGCGGGCACTGCCATACACAACACAGCATTACACCGAACACAACACACAACACGTGTATGTTCACCTTTGCTGGCTGGAAGAATCCGCCGGTCTTCTCGTTGCAGACGGGGCAGTTCATCGACTTGCGAAAGTGCTCCAGCAGACACCTGATGGCGGTAGTGTGAGGAGGGAAGGGGAGGTGGGGAGGTGGCATTGAGGGGGGTGATGTGGTGAGGGGTGGAGAGACAAGCATGATGTACTACGACTCGCCACACACGCACACACACACACACACACACACACACACACACACACACACACACACACGCACACGCACGCACGCACGCACATACACACACACACACACACACACACACACACACACACAACATAGCACACAACACAACATGGCACAGCACAACTCAACACATGCTAACTTTTCGCAAAAGTAGTGCTTGCACTTGGTGACGACCGGGTGGGTGAAGCGCTCACGGCAGATGAAGCACGCAAACGGCAGCTCGTCCTCATCGTCCGAGTCAGACTCAATCTCGTACTGCCGCACGTCCACCTTGCCGTACTCGCCCCGCTCAATCTCCCGGTCAATCTGCCAGCCGTGCTTGTAGTCGCTGCGGTCGTGCAGGAACTTGCACGTGTCGCCAAACCCGCAGTAGCCCGTCTCCTTGTAGTCCTTGCAGATGTCCGGCTGGTAGTCCCAGCGCACGGTGCTGCGGATGTTGAGAGGCGCGCGCACGGGCCCCTTGGATGTCACGCCCTTGAACGCGTTGCCCGCCACCGTCTCCTTACGCTGATTCAGCTGCCTGTACGCAGACAGCCCCCGATACATGCCCTCGCCTGCACGAAGAGTGAGTGTGTGGAAGAAGGGAGTGTGTGCATGTGCGTGTGTGCGTGTGCGAATGTGTGCATGTGTATGCGCGTGTTTCTGTGAACCAGGCACATGCCAATGTATGCGGTTGCCAGGCTTCATTCGTGCACGTTGTGCGCACCTTCTTCTCCCGGTTGCTGTTGTGAGCGCTCAAAGACCGCCTGCGCATCACGATCCCGCTCCGTATCAATGGTGAGCTCGGCCCTGTAAGACCAAAGCAAGGCGATGTGCCAGTTCATGAGTTCTTGTGTGTGTGCGTGTGTGTGTGCGTACACTTTGAGCATGGCTCATGTGCGCGTGTGCGTGTGCGTGTGCGTGTGCGCGTGTGTGTAATCTTGAGCCACGCAATGCACATAATGCGACGCAGCATGACTTACGTCGCGCCCATGTCTTTTGGTCCAGCAAACTCCTTGGATCGCGAAGACTTGTAGGTCACAGTCAAGCTGTCATCCTTTGACTTGGACCTGCTTGTAAGAAAGATGCGTTTGGGGGGGGGTAGAAGATTTTGTGTTGGGACTTGCTGCAGACAACAAGGAGAACGAGCGTGGTTTCGTACAAGCATGCGCACAAATCGCAGCCACCCAGCACACACACACACACACACACACACACACACACACACACACGCACACACACACACACACACACACACACACACACACACACACACACACACACACACACACACACACACACACACACACGCACGCACTTTGTTGTGGTTGCGCCAATGCCGCGCACTGGTTTGCTGCGCTTTTCCAGCAAGGCACCCTCATCAATATCGTCGTCCTCTGCCGCTAATGCCTGCACAGTGGTCCTCTTCCTTGTGTTTGCCCTCGTGCCTTTTGCCCTCTTCTTCTTCTTGATAAACACACAGCTGGCCGCACCCCCTGCTTTCTTTAACGTGTCGCTGCCGGTGGCAGTGGTCGTGGCATCGGTCCCATCTATGCCCTTCTTCGCCTCAGCAACCTCGGCAGCTTGCGCCGCTTCAGCCTTGCTCTTCTCCTCCTGCTTGTCCGTCATCATCTCCGCGGTCGCTCTCAAAGCCCTGGTGAAAATTGGTGGGAGTTGTACATGGAATTCGAGCCATGCTCCATTCGTGAGTTTTGCTGGCCGTGCAAGAAGAACAACGCACAAAAAACGCTTGATTGCGAGGAGGAAAGAAAGGTGAGACAGCAAAAGGAGCTGGCTTGTTGAAACGCCTCCCAGCGAGCGAGTGGAAGAGGTGTGGTGGGCTTGTGGTGGTGTGTGTGTGTGCGAGCCATGGGGGCAGGACGGAGGTACCGTGGGTGGCTGAGAGAAGTGCAGCAATTGGCTTGTATTTCTTCGTGTGCTGTGATCGTGGTGGATCTCACATGTTGTCGAAGAACTCGCTGCTCTTGTTCCACCATTGTTCGCAATCTCACTGGCGCACGCCTTCTCGTTCAGTGGTGATCATGCAGTGGCTCGTGCTTCTTTCTTTCTCTCACGAACACTCTCACACATACCCCCGCATACACACCCACATCCTCACACCCACTCGCACCATCTTGCTCTCTTCTTTCCCAGCAATCACTGAACAGTACAGTACATAAGGACCACGTTTGTTTGGTTTGCACGTCACACAGAACCATGCCTCCGGTAAGCCAGCACATAACACGTGCACATGCACTTGTGTATGTGTGTGTGTGCACGCACGTGTGTGAATGCATGTATATGCGTTTTTACTCGTGGCTTTGGAATGACGCATACAAAGACCCACCTTCCTGCACCTGCTTCTCCATCACCATCGCGTGATCGTCCTTGACACTGCCTCTCTTCCACCTGCCCGTCTCTCTTTCATCCTCTCATCTTCACACCTCACAACGCGGTCCTGTCAACCACACCTTCCACCCTCTCAACACCACACGCACAGCCCTTGAAGTGGGCAGGGTCCACGACCTCGATGGAGGGCCGCCTGATGGTTGCCGTGCACGAGGTGATTGAGCTGAACCTCCAGCCAAACGAGACACTGGGCCTGCGCGTGTCTGGCGGTACCGACACAGTGGACGAGGGTGAGGACCCCGGCCTGTTTGTGGAGGAAGTCCTGGAGGGCGCCGGCAGCCGCGACGGCCGCATCAAGGTCGACGACAAGATCATCGAGGTGAACGGCACGCGCCTTGGCGAGCGCACGCACGAGGAGTACATGGGCGTGCTCACGGAGGCCGTTGGTAGCCTGAACGTGGTGCTGCTCGTGAGCCGCATGCGCGAAGTTGGCTCCGTCTCCTGGGAGGAGTTCTTCGCGGGCCGATACGGCCACATGACCACGCAGGGCCGGTACGCGTCAGGGTCCATTGCCTACGTCAGCGAGGGCTTTGGCGTCGTGGAGCTTGAGCAGAGCGCATCAGAGACGTTTGGTCTCGCGCTGGCCGGCGCCAAGAGCAAAGAGGAGGCACGTGTTGCTGCGGGTGTGTACATTGCCGCCATCCGCGCCGGTGGCCCCGCAGCCGCAGCGGCTATTGACGGCACGCTGTCTCGCGGCCAGCAGATTGTGGAGATCAATGGGTGGGCGTGTGCGCGCGCCACCGTGGCGGAGGTGGAGCTGCTTCTCAACCGGTTTGCACGCGCCACCATCGTTGTGAAGGAGAACCCCGAGGGCTTCCTGCCGTTCTCCGACGAGAGCCTGAACCGGTATTACGCGCCGCTCACCGTCGACGGGCAGGAGGCGACCACGGAGTCTCTTCGACAGGTCTCGCTGCCGTTTGACCCGACCGGCAACACGAAGCTTGGCCTGCGCATCATCGGCGTGCCGCCCAACACCAAGTTTGATGCGCACGGCGTGTTTGTCAATGGCTGTGCACCGGGCACGGCCGCAGCCGACCGCCTCAACGTCGGCGACCAGATCATCGGTGGGATTGCTTGTGTGTGTGTAAATGTGTATGAATGTGTGTATGAATATGAACGTGTGAATATGTGTGCGTGTGTGCGTGTGTGTGTGTGTGTAACACATGTGTGTGCAACGCATGTGTGTGTAACACATGTGTGTGCAACGCATGTGTGTGAACATGTGAATATGCGTGTGTATGTGTATGAACATGTTTGTTTCTGTGGCGCGCATGTGTACGTAACCCTGCGTGTGACTGCATGTGCCTCGATCTTCGTCCCGCGCCGTCCTTGCTCACCATGCCCCTCCCTCCCACACGTCTCCACCCCCGACCCCCTTCCTCTGTGATCCAGAGATCAACGGGTGCACGCTCGCTGGCGCCACGCACGACGTTGCCGCCAACACGCTGCGTGCGTCCAAGGGCACGGCCAAGCTGCTTGTGGTACACAACGCCCCCGGCTACGAATACATGACGCGCATGGTCGAGGAGCACGAGCGCGAGCTTGACCAGGACCCGGACGCCCGCCGCCACATCAAGGATGTGCTCGTGCCAGACGTGCGCATCCCAGAGGTGCAGACGGTCCGCGACGCCGACGCGCAGGAAAACAAGGTGGTGGTGCGGGTGGCACGGCCCGTGGGCCAGCCAATTGGCGTCACCATCCACGTGCGGGAGGTGGCTGGGCGCCGCATCCCGCTCATCACCAACGTCAGCGCAGGCAGCGTGGCCGCCGACACGGGCAAGCTGCGCGTGGGGCAGCAAGTGTTCGCGCTCAACACCACCGCGCTCTCCGAAAACACACCGCACAGGGACATTGAGAACGTGCTTGCAGACACGTCACTGGACCACATTGAGCTGACAGTCTCTGCAGAGCCCGTCGTGGACGTGAGCGAGCTGCTCGCCAACCTCATCCTCACCCACACGTCCACCGCCATCTCCCACCAGCACGTGCGCCTGGTGCGCATCCCAGACAACATCAACGGGCTCGGCTTTGCCTTTGTTGGCCCGAGCGAGGAGAGCGGGCTGGCGCCGTTTGGTGCGTACGTGTCGCGCACGACCGTGGGTGAGCTCAACACGGGGGACCAGCTCCTGGCCGTCTCCTCCAACAACCACGGCAAGTTTGAGTGCTTGTTTGACTGCTCATACAAGAAGGCCATGTCGCTGCTGATGCGGGCGAAGATGGCGCGGGAGACATACCTCGTCGTGTGCTCCAACCCGGAGGGGTACGCGTTCTTCTCTGCAATGACGACCAACAGCGTGGACCTGGAGCAGGTGCTGCCGCCGCCCATCTCACCCCGCGCCGCCGTCGCCGCCGTCAGGGAGTCGGTCGCCGCTGAACACCAGCGCAGACAGCAGCAGCAGCAGCATCAGCAGCAGCAGCAAGGGGAGGAGAAGCAGGATACAGAGAAGGGACAGGAGCGCATCGATGGTGAGAGTGGGGAGCAACGTCAGGGTGAGGGCGGCCATGCACAGGCGGAATCAACAGAGGTCCAAGGCGAGCAAGGCGAGGGTGTTGCCGCAGCTACTTCTGACAAGAGTGCAGAGCAGCCAGCGGGTGTCGAATCGCAACCCGCCACAGCCGCTGTGAACGCCACGACAGACTCCGCCACCGCTGCTGGCCCGGCACACACGGCCAACGCCAGCATGACGGCGCCGCCGCAGCGCTCGTCCTTCTTCACCGTCACAGAGGCGCCCTTCCACGTGCGGGCGCACTTTGCGTGGGTGCCGCAGAACGAGACGCAGCTTGGGTTTGCCGAGCGCGACGTGCTGCGTGTCGAAGAGCTTCTCTCTGGCGACTTTTGGGTGGCCACACACCTTGGCACGGGCGCACGGGGCCAGATCCCGTCTGCCGCGTACTACGAGGAGTTTTTCAAGGCGACACCGCTGTGGCAGCAGAAGCTGCACATTGCGCAGACGATTGACCAGACCATGCGCGACGCCGACGAGGCGGTTAGTTTGTTTTGTTATTGTGTGTTGGAGGGGGGAGCGAGGATGGGCTCTCTTGCTTGTGTGTGTATGTGTGTGTGTGTGTGTGTGTGTGTGTGTGTGTGTGTGTACTTGCGTTGTTTTGTTTGTGTGCTTCGATGGCGAGGTGCGCATTCGGAACCCCGCAATGCTCTTTAACACCGACATGTCATGCACACATGCGCACATGCGCACATCTTGACCAGACGCGCAAGGAGGCGCGCGACGACGTGCTGACGGTGCACTCGTACACGGTGGTGGAGTGGCAGCAGCTCGAAGGGGCCGTGCGCCCGCTGGCCGTGTTTGGCATGGAGGCTCACAAGGTGATGGTGGGCGCAATGCACCTCCTCCCAGACATGGCCATTGCCACGCCGCTGCGCTGCACAAGCCGCCCCATGCGTGACGGCGAGACAAACGGGCAGGAGTACGAGTTTGTCTCGCGCGAGGAAATGGAGCGCCGTCTTGCTGCGAAAGAACTCATTGAAGTCGGCAGCTTCAAGGTCCGGCAGTTGTGGGCGTTGCCTTATTGCTGGTGTGCTTGTGAACTTGGTTGTGTGTGCACGCATGTGTGCGTGTGTGTGTGTGCACGTACGTGCGTGCATGTGTGTGTGTGTGTGTACGCGTGTGTGCACGTGTGTGCGTGTGTATGTGCTAACTTGTGCGCGCAGACATTACAAATCACACGCTGCCTCTTCCAGATCCACCGCGCTTGCCTCACACACGCACACACACACAACACATGCTCTGCAATTTTACACCTACCCCCTTGCTACTCTCCCCTCTCTACCCCAGGGCAACCTGTATGGCACGACCATCGAGGCTGTTGCAGCCCCTGCGCGTGACGGCAAGCTCGTGCTGATGCAGTGCCACCCACCGGCCATTCGTCGCCTGCAGCTCCTGGGCGACATCCACCCGATTGTCGCCTTTGTTGCGCCCGCACCGGAGCGCCTGCAGACACGGGCGGACGGCAGCGCCATCGACGAAGCCGCGCAGGCTGCGGCGTGGGAGCAGGTTGAGCACGGCCACACGTTTACACACGTGCTGCAGGAGGGACCCGTGCCCGCACTTGCCCAGCAGGTGGCAGCCATTGTGAGCGAGGAGGCGAGAGCCGAGGGGCTCTGGGCCGCTGTTCCCGCCCTTCTTCCACGCGCACCGGTGCGTGTCTCGTGGTGTGTGTGTGTGTGTGTGTGTGTGTGTGTGTGTGTGTGTGTGTGTGTGTGTGTGTGTGTGTGTGTGTGCAATCTGGTGCATTTTGTGTTTTGTTAACCAACTGTGTCTCCGCCATCAGTGCTTGATGTCCTGACTTTGTGGTGTTCACTTATTTGTGTCGCATTTATCAAGTCATATGCATCCTTCACTCACCCCTCACTCACGCTTACACACCTCTTGACTGGCCCGCCAGCTGTCGCAGGCCGCATCACCATCCAAGATGTCGCTTGGTCTGACAACGGCCCCGGCAACGCTGGGCAACACGTCCATGACAGCTACCAACGCGGTTGACACGAGTACCGCTGCTGCTGCCGCTGGCGCGACTGAAGAGGACGAGTCACTCGCCATGTACTCGCAGTCGACCCAGCTCAAGTGCGACTTTGAGACGGTCGTGGTGCAGCGGCTCGGCAAGCACAAGTACGGCTTCAAGCTCGTGGCTGATGACGAGACTGGTGTGCCGACTGTTGCGCCCGGCGACGACATTGTGTATGTCAACGGGTCCTTTGGTGCCGGCGCCCGCGTCCTCTGCGTCGGCGGCCAGAACGTCATTGCAGAATCCTCATCGAAGGTGCGCGCACGCCTTTCGTGTGTCGATATGTGACCTTGTGTCGTTTTGCGTGTGTGCGTGTGTGTGCACGTGTGTGTGTATGTGTGTGTGCACGTGTATGTTCGTCCAAGAGCATCTTCTTTCTTGCATCAAGTACAACTCACTTTTGTCCATGCAACACAACCCCCCCCTTCACTTCTTTCTCTCCCTTTCTATGTTCGCGCTGTAGCTGAAGGATGCGGTGAAGAAGAACACGGAGACGCTGAGCGTGGTCCTGTTCCCGCGGCACCTCAACGTGCGCGCCGTCAAGCTGAAGAAGCGCAACAACACGTTTGGCCTCAAGATGTCCACGCCCGAGGGCTTCCCCGCCACCATCATCACAGGCGTGCCGCAGGAAAACATTGTCCGCGAGGGCTCATGCAGGCGCGGCGACGCCATCGTGGCCGTGAGTTGTGTATGCGTGTGTGTGCGCGCAAATGTGTGTGTGTGTGTGTGTGCTTGCGCTTGAAGATTCGCGCGTGTGAAAATGTGTTTGTACCCTCTGTTTGTGCGTGCGCTGCAACTCGCGTGTGAACTGATTCACCGCGCTCCTGTCTTCGTGTTTGCTTTGTGCGGTGCTGCCAGGTTAACGGCGCGCCGATGCTGCGCTGCTCGCTGGAGGAGGTCACGTCCGCGTTCACACAGCAGAAAACAGCGCGCATCGCCGTTGCAGACGCTGATGACGTCATGGTGCGAACATCCCATCCCGCCTTGTGCATTCGTGTGCGAACCACTTGTCTGTTTGAAGCGTGCTTGCAGCCTCGACCACGGCCTGAGGGCCTCGATTGCGCGTCATTCCCCTGCATACAACAAACCTGAGCATGCACACGCACATCACACACGCACGCGCGTGCACTGAGCTGTCGTCTCTTTCCTCACCCTCGCGTCCCCACTTGGCTCCATTCTTCATAACAGCTGACGTCCTCTGGGACGAGCCGGCGGGTTGAGCTGCGGCGCTTTCAGACCAATTATGGCCTGGAGATTGCCATGCTCGACGACCTACCCGTGGTCCTGCGCATTACCGCAGCCACCGTCGCAGCCGCATCCGACCTCAACGTCGGCGACGCCATCTACAAGGTGCTGCACCGCCACCCACACAGACGACGCATTGTGGCGTGCACGAAGAGAGAGAGAAAGGGCTTGTGTGTGTTTGTGTGTTTGTGTGTGTGTGTGTGTGTGTGTGTGTGTGTGTGTGTGTGTGTGTGTGTGTGTGTGTGTGTGTTCTTGCCCAGTGACAATGCAGGCTTCGTCATCACGTCATCGTTCAACCACACGTATTGCCCCCCCCCCCCCACTTCGCCACCCCCATCCCCCATCACCCCATCTCCTCCCTGTGTGACTGTAGATCAACGGCATGACGACGCGCAACGCCTCGTACGACACAATTATGTCGACGGTGCGCACCAGCGCCACGCTCGACCTCGTTGTCGACAAGTGTCCGCGATTCGCCAGGCGCGAGGTGACGGTTGAGCGCTCCGCCACCGCTGGCTACGGCATGCATGTGCAGACGACGTTTGGGTACTGCCCTGTTGTGACGCGCGTGGTTGAGGGCAGCCCTGCGGCGACAGGCAACGCCATCCTCCCCGGCGACGAAATCGTGGAGGTGCGCAGAAGCTGGTGGTGATTGCGGTGGTTGGCTGCGGTGGTGATCGACGAAGTTGTGGTGGTGTTGATCGTGTGGACAGCACCCCTCTCTCTCTGCGAGACAATTATCAAGTGGTCATTCACACACACACACACACACCTACACACACACACACATACGCACGCACATACGCACGCACATACGCACGCACACACGCACACGCACCCGTACGTACAGATCAACGGTACGGCCACGCAGGGCAAGATGCACGAGGAAGTGGTTGCAATGCTCTCCCGCGCCACCACGGCCAAGCTGTCCCTGCGCCATCCCACCACGCCCACCGCCGCCCCCATGGCGCCGGCGATCGTGCCCGCAGCAGCAACAGCCTCTGAGCAGCAGCAGCCGACTAAGGAGGAAGAGACGAACAACGATGCGCAGCAGCAAGAAGAGACGCACCAGCAGCCACCGAAGCAGCAAGTTGAGGTGCAAGACGCAAGCGTGAAGAGCTTCAGTAACGCGCGCAAGGTTGTGTTCCGTGGCGCCTCTGTGTCGCGTCTTGGCCTCAGGTTCCAGCGCGTGGAGGGCGATGCGTTCTTCAAGGTGGCGGAGGTGCTTGACGGCGGGCTCGCCAAGGAATCTGGTGCCATCAGCCCCGGTGACGCCGTCGCAGAGGTGCGCATGAAGGGGGCGAAGAGGGGGTGGGGATGGTAGTTTGATGCTCGCAGGTGCGTGAGTTTTTGGGAGCGTGTGTGTTGGCGTGGTTTTGACGTGTGATGACAGTGATGAAGATGTTGCGACAGTTGAGATTGATGCGTTCCACTTCTGTGGTTCAGCTCATTGCTATTTGCGGGTGAACACCACACTTCAACATACATATCGCTGTCACCCTGTGCCAGGTAAACGGCATTGCGTTCAACACGCGCGAGGGACTGGCCCGCGCCCTCAGTGCTGCGGAGGACACCGTCTCCATTGTTGTCGGCACACCACGACAGGAACAAGCAGGCGCCGTGAGTTGCTACATATGTTCGTGTGGGGCTGCATGCAAGTGCGTGGTGGCGTGCTGCAATGTTGATGACCATTATCGCTCCTCTCCTCGCTCACATACCCCTATCATGCTTCTCGATCTGCCCTCCTCGTGCGTGTTTGCGCTTGAGCAGCGCGTTGTGCTCGATACGCACAGCGAGCGGCTTGGCCTGAAGATTGTGTGTGTGCAGGACTCGTTCCCCATTGTTTCGGTAGTTGATGCTGACGGCGCCGCCGCCAAGGAGCCCGCACTCGTCCCCGGCGTCACCATCCTCAAGGTGCACACGAATCACAGGCACTGCTCTCGAGATGACACGTGCATGGTTGTTTGCCATGTGGCGTCGATTAGACGCCTAATGCGTGCATACTCGTGTTTGTTATCTGCCATGTAAATCTGACTTCCAACTCACGTCATTGGCCGCCTGTTCACCCTCCCCAAACACAACTATCACATCATCGTCATGTCCCCCACCCACCCCTTGTTGCGTTACGCAGGTGAACGGCCGGGATATGCATGGTGCGACGAGTGAGGACCTGCGGGCAGCGTTGGCTGCCTCGTCCCTCATTGAACTCGTCCTCGGCGATCGCGTATCGCTCCCTCAACCGCCACAGGAGCAGGAGCAGCAACAGGGGGAGGGCTCACAGGGTGGAGGTACCAACCTGCACCCCATTCGCATTGCGCGCATTACGCCTGTGGAGGGCGAGAGCCTCGGCATTGCCATCCGCACGCACGAGGGTACTGACCTGTGCCCCGTTGTTCCGGCCATCATCGCTGGCTCCCTCGCAGAGAAGGAGGGCACAATCACGGCTGGCGACGAAATTGTCACCGTGCGTCTGCATACTTGCGCGCGTGTGTGTGCGTGTGTGTGTGTGTGTGTGTCTGTGTGTCTGTGTGTCTGTGTGTCTGTGCGCGTGTGTGTACGCAAGTGGTTGTCATTTTCGTTTCCTTCTTTATCGCTCTCATCCCTTCTATGTCTCTTTGCCGCACCAGATCAACGGCACACCTACGAGCGGCCTGACCCATGAGGGCGTGGTTGCGCTGCTCAAGCAGCCACGTGACGTCATCGAGATTGGTGTGCGCCAGTCCCTGCAGGCGGTGCGTTGACCAATGTGCTCATTCATGTGTTGATTCCGCTTCTGTTTCGTTTCTTCCTGTCATGCTCGTCTTTGACGATCACACTCATCTTGTACTGTCATGCTGGGACTGTTCTCTGCCGTCGCGTCACCGTTTACGATGTGTTTCACACTGTCGTCAACTCCTCGCTCCTCCCCTTCTTCTTTCTGGTTTTCAGCTTGAGCCGTTTGAGGCTGCACAGAGCAATGTCGTGCGCCTGGAGAAGTCTGGTGGTGCCTTTGGCCTCAACCTCATCACCGCCGAGCGCGTGCCCGCGGTTGTGGTCGGTATTGCCCCTAACAGCGCAGCGCAGCACTCAAATGCATTTGCCGTTGGTGACGTCATCATGAAGGTGCGTGCGTGTGTGCGTGTGTGTGTGTGTGCGTGCGTGTGTGCGTGCGTGTGAGTGTGGGTGTGTGTGTGTGCGTGTGTGTGTATGTGTGTGTATGTGCGTGGTTGTTTGCGTGCACATGCGCGTTGGAATCGTCCCTGCCTTGCAAGGTGGTGGAGACTCTTTAGGCATGCCCGCTGCGCATGTGCTTGTGCTTGTCACCGAGCACCCCAATAATTTCCCTCTCGCCAATCGTGTATTCTCACTCACCGTTTGCATACTTTCCATGATTCACGTCCCACCCCTCTTCCTCTTGGCGCTGCAGATCAATGGCGAGTCCACAGTCGACCTGACTCACGACGAGCTCGTCAGCATCTTCCGCTCCTCCGACATGGTTGAGCTTGAGTCTGCGCCGCGTGAGGACGGTGAGGTGAAGGCTGTGGAGGCGACGCGCGGGCCCAGCGGCCTTGGCCTGGTCATCAAGTCGGATGATCGCGGTAACTCGTTTATCACCAAGGTCGCAGAGGGCTCACCTGCCGCAGACGCTGGCGTCCCCCTCTTTGCCAAGATCCTGGCGGTGCGTTACAGTGTGCATGTGTGTGCGCATGTATGTGTGTGCATGTGTGCGTGCGTGTTTGCATGTGTGTGCGTGCGTGTTTGCATGTGTGCGCATGTGTATATGTGCACATGTTTGTGTGTGTGGATGTATGTGCTTAAATATGTGTGCGCGCTCTTGTTCTTGGGTACAATGCTGACAATCCGCGCACTGCCACTTAACATCCTTCCCTTTTCCCCTTCCCAACTGCAGGTGAACAACTCGCCTGTGATTGGTCTGTCACATGACGATGTTGTGGCGCACCTTCGCGCCACCACCGTCTCCCTGCTCCTCCGCTGTCCCGCCGGTCCCGTCACCGCTGACATGTACGTGCGCTCTGTACGAGCTCTGATTGTATAGTTATTTTGTGCGTGTGGTGTTGATAAACCCAGGCCATGCATGCCTTAACCTCTTCATACCTTTCAGCTCACAGTATTCGCCCTTGCGTTTTCACTGTGCTTCATCGCTGTCACGTACAGGTTTGACATGAGGATGGACCAACCAGCAGTACCACCGTCAGCATCGCAGCAGCAGGCGGCGGCAGCGCAGGGCGAGGCAACCCAAACAGCAGCAGCGGCAGATAAAGAGGAGGATTCGTCCACTGCCGCGCCGCCCTCGTATGACGACGTTGGTGGCGGCGATGAGGGTGACGCAAACACCCGGGTTGTGACGCTCACGCGTGGCGAGCGAGGCTACGGCTTCCGGCTCATCACCAACGAGGACCACGCGTCGCCGATTGTGATTGAGGCGCTGCCAAACACGCCCGCCACCAACGTCCTCCGTCCCGGCGACGCAATCCTATCCGTGAGTTGACCAGCGAGAGCGAGAGATGGTGATGGTGATGATGCGTGTGTGCGTGTGTGTGTGTGTGTGTGTGTGTGTGCGCGCGCGCGCGTGTGTGTATGTGTATGTGTGTGTGTGCGTGCGTGTGCGTGTGTGTGTGTGTGTGTTCCGTGCAGCAATAGTCTCGCTTCTCACACCACTTCACCCGCGCTTCAGATCAACGGCACGTCAACTGCGAATCTGACACACGAGGAAGTGCTTGCGCTGATCCAGAGTGCCGGCAGCATCAACCTGCGCGTCAGGCACGACGGCGACGTCTTCTTCAACCTCCTCCAAAACTCTCGCCAGCACGAACTCGGCACCCCCGTGCCAGGTGCTGTGTGTGGGTGTTACATCTGTCTGTGTGTTCGCGCTCACTGTGTCGCTCTGCATGTGTGTCAGCATATGCGTGCACGTCACAAGTGCTGCGGTCTTGCCTTTTGCCCCCCCCCCCCACAACCAACCCTCGACCGCTCAAACCTGTTTCCATCTTTCTTTTCTTTTTTTTTTTTTCCTTCTTCTTCTTCTTCCCTTCACACCATGCCCTCGCCCCCCCCCCCCATATGCCAATCCGCAACCAATGCAGGTCTCTCCAAGGGCACGCAGACGACGGTGCTGAAACGTGGTGGTGGCGGTTACGGCCTGCGCATCGAGACGCTGGAGGGTCTTCGCCACATCATTGTGGAGGTGATCCCTGGCGGCGCCGCTGCGGACTCAAAGCAGGTACACGTCGGGCAGGAGATTCTTGAGATCAATGGTCAGGCTGCTCGCGGCGTGGAGCACAACGGCGTGGTCAGCATGCTGGCGTCCACGGACGAGGCGCACGTTAAGCTGACCCTGCCGCCGCAGCTTGGGGACTGCACCCTCGTGCGGCTTCGTCGCGACGACAACGGGAGTCTTGGCCTGAGGCTGCAGATGCCGCAGCAGGAGTCGCCGCTGTCGTACCCGATCATCTCCCACGTTGGCGAGCACAACGCCGCGCACCTGCAGCCGGGCGACTTCATCATCCGCGTCAACGGCGCCAGCGTGATGGGCAAGCCGCTCGAGGAATTCGCACCCGCGTTCCTGTCTGACCCGGTCGTTGTGGACGTGTACCGCCCGGCGCCGGGCACCGACGCCACCGCCGCATCGCCAGAGGCACCGGCCACGACGACAGCGGCGACGGCAGCAGCACAGGACGCGGCCACACCAGCGCAGGAGGCTGGAGAAACGCCGGCTGACAGCGGTGCTCAATCACAACTGCAGTCGTACACCAGCGAGCAGACGCAGGCACAGGCTTCTGCTGCGACAGCAAACACGCCGGCCACCGAGCAAGCGCCAGCACAGCAGCAGCAGCAGCAGTCACCGCAGGAGGAGGGTGACGGGCAAGGGGCCCGCAAGACTGTGATACTGCAGCGCACGTCGACTGGGTTTGGGCTGCAGATTGCCTCACCAAACGAGGAAGGCCCGCACTACCACCAGATTACGCTCGTGCTGCCCACTGCCCGCGTTGTCAGCGGCACCGTTGAGGCGGGCGACATCATCGAGCAGGTGGGTCGTGGGCATGTGTGCGCGTGTATGTGTGTGTGTGTGTGTGTGTGTGTGTGCATGTTTGGTGTGTATTGGTATGTTGACTTGTGTATGTTTAATTGTGTGCGTGAGTGTGCGTGTGTGTGAGTTTCACGATTTGTGCGGTTTTCCAACACATTTCTTCATCCATTCATCACACTTTCATGGTTCCCTCCTCCTCCCAACAGATCAACGGCGAGGATGTGACTGCGCGCACACACGAGCAGCTTGTGGACATTCTCTCTGGGCAGTCCATGCTGGAGATGGTGGTACGCAAGCCATCGCCGGAGCAGGCGCAGCTGGCAGAGCCCGTGCAGGCGTTCCAGCAGCTGATGACCCGTACCCAGCAGCAGCCGAACGGCCACGCCGCTGGTGTTGGTGAGCAGGCCGAGGCACAGGCTGGCACCACAGCTGAGACCGCTCCCGAACAACAACCACAGCAAGAGCAGCAGCAGCAGCAGCAGCAGCAGCAAGAAACTGGCACAGAGCAAGGCGAGGACAAGGGCTATCAGTCACAGTCGGCGGCTGGACGTGCAACGGCTGATACCGGAGCCAACGCAGTTCAACAGCAGCAGCAGCAGCAGCAGCAGCATGATGCTGATGAGGAGGCCACGGCAGATGCCGGTGATGTGTCTGAACCAACTCCGCAGATTGTCGAAGATGATGCCACAGCTCCTCCCGCCCCACCAGCTCGCCGCACGGTGACCGTTGCGAAGAACGAGCGTGGACTTGGGATGAAGTTTCTTGGCCTCGGACAGGGCCTCGGCGTCATTGTAACCGCCCTCATGCCCGACACACCTGCACACGCATGTCCTGACCTCAACATCTACGACACCATCTGCAAAGTGTGTTTGCCTGCGATGGGGTTGCTTTTGTGTGTGTGTGTGTGTGTGTGTCTGCGTGTGTGTGTGTGTGTGTGCGTGTGTGTGTGTACGTATGTGTGTGTGTGTGTGTGTGTGTGTGCGTATGTGTGTGTATGTGTTTTGCTTGCAATAGGATTGCATTCTTGCGTGAGTGTGCGTGTCTGTTTGTGTATCACCCACACCCTCATGCCGTCCTTTCAAACCCCCGCTCCCGTGCAGATCAACGGTACGGATGTGCTTGACCTTGAGCACGATGCTGTGCGCGACATTCTTGTGAGCGGCTCCTCCTTTGAGCTTGAGGTGCTGCCTGCGCCCGCCGCCAAGGTCGCCATCCTCGTCCGCGAGTCCAAGGATGACCCGCTCGGCGTTGCCGTTGTCGACGACGACCACCACCGCGTGCGCGTGGCCAACGTGTCTGAGGCGGCGCGGTTTGCAGACGCGCAGCTGGAGCCCGGCGAGGAGATTGTGAGCGTCAACCACAGGGACGTGCGGACAATGTCTGCCATGCAAGTTGGCGTGTTTATGCGCACGGCATCGGACGTGCTCGTCATTGCGGCCAACCCATGCGCTGACCCGCTGCCAGAGCACGAGACAACCGCTTAGGGCCGCTCGCGCGCTGCACGTGGTGGCGATGGGTGGTGACAATTGAGTCGTGAGTAGTTGTCGTGAGTGTACTCTCGTGTTGACACGCGTTCAAGAATGGCTTGCGTTGAGATGAGATGGTGTGACAAAGGCGTGTTGATTGGTTGATGCTTGCTTCGTGTGTGGTGGGGGGGGGGGTGTGAAGGTGGTGTGAAGATGGATGGCGAGTTGCGGCGGCGAGGCGTGCCAATGTATGTTGTAAACTAAGGCTTGGTGTGTTTGATGACTTGCTTTTGTTTTGTTGTTGTTCTCGCTTTGGGTCCGGTGGTTGTTTGTTCGTATGCTTCTTGCGTGTTGTTGTTTCGTTTGGCGTGGTGAGTGGTGTAGCGACCGTGATTGTGGTGTGTGCTTGGTGTTTTGGTGTTTTGGTGTGTTTGCTTGGTGTTGTTGCCGACTTGGCAAGAAGTGAAACACAGACTCTCAACTCAAGGCCCCCAGCTATGCTTTCTCTGACGTTTCATTGTGAGCGAGGTTCAGCAAGCACAACAAGCACAAGCAACAACGGGGGGGGGAAGGGTGAAGAAAGATACAGGTCAATCATTTGTGTATGTATGTGACGGGACTCGGCACAGCATTCAAGCCAACCAACAAAACAAGCGAAGCGATAACACACCACACATGGTACGATACACACAACCCAAAACCAAAACCAAACCAACCAAAACACCGTGCAAAGAAGGGAGTGGAAGGACGTGTGCTGCTCCTAGGGCTTGCGGCGGCGGCGCTTCTTGTTTGTCTTTGCGTCCACGAGGGCCTGCGCTTGCTTCTTGAGCGCATCGCGCGAGGCAAACTCGTCGTCGTCGTCGCTGTCAGATTCGCCATCTGCAAGAGGTGTTGACGGGTTAATGTGAGGGCGCAAAAAGGCAAATCGGGAAGGGGTGGGGGAGGGGAGTGGGTTGGCGTGTACATGACAAGCCGAAACACGTGCGAGCGTCGACGTGCACATGACACACACACACACACACACACACACACACACACACACACACACACACACACACACACACACACACACACACACACACACACCTGCGTCTTGTGTGTCGAGCGGGACGCGTGTGTTGTGTTCTGGGAGGATGTATGGGATGCTCTCTGCTTCGAGACCACCGGGAAGTTCGTTCTTGCGCGCCTCAAGCTCCTCGTTCAGCTTCTTCAGGCGAAGCTCTGCCTCCGTCAGTTTGTCCTGCACGTTGCTCGCCGCGCGGAATTGCACCTGATAGCAAGATGAGGAGGAAAAGGGGTGGATAGGAGAGGTCAGTTGAGTAGTGGGCCGTGCTGATGGAACGCAGCTCCGAGAGCAGGCCATTGAGGCACACAACACGAACAACACCACACCCAGGAACCCCGCAACAGCCACAACCATGACAGCAACAGCCACAACCACAACCACGACAGCAACAGCCACAACCACAACCACGACAGCAGCAGCAGCAGCAGCAGCAGCAACAACAACAACAACAACAACAACAACAACAACAACAACAACTTCAACAACAACAACTTAAACAACAGCAACAACAACAACAACTTAAACAACAACAACTGCCTTACCGGCTTGATGGAGCCGAGTTTCTCGTAGAGCGCCTCCACGCCGGCGGAGAGGGCGACAAGAACCTTCGTGGCCCTCTCCGTGCTCTGCTGCGCCTTGCTGCCACGCCGCTCCACGTCCCGCAGGTGCGCCTCAAACTCGGCGAGCATGCGCTGGTTGCCCGTGTTTCGCGCCTCGCCAGAGTACTTGAGGGCCTCAAACTGCTTCTGCAACTTCTGGTGTTCCTGCCGCAGCTTGTGCAGCTGCTCTGTGTTGTCCTGCTGCAGTTGCTTGAGGTGGTCCTGTGTCTCCCCTTGCGTTGCAAAGCGCTGCACGACCTCGTTGACGTCGGAGGCGCCCGTGGCGTCGCGGATGCGGCGCATCGCCTGCTCATATGTCTCCAACTTTTCCTTGCACTCGTCGCTCGCCTCCTTGTCTGCTCAGTTGGATGGAAGGCATGATTTAGGAGGGGGGGGGGAAGATTTTGTGTGCGTGTGTGTGTGTGTGTGCGTGTGTGAGTGTGTGCGTGCGTGTGTGTGTGTGCGTGTGTGTGTATGTGTGTGTGTGCGTGTGTGTGTGTATGTATGTGTGTGTGTGTGTGAATGGAGACCAAGACACAAGCAGATACAGACACAGACATGTGCAACAAGGCAAAGAGCGATGAATGCGGCGTTGAACAACACACAACGACGACAACACACAGAGCACATTATTTGTTGGCCACACACCACCGGAGTTTTGTTCGACGCCGGCCGATGCCATGCGCAGTCGCTTCTCCATGGCCTCAAACTGGCGACGGCGCTCCTCAGCCAACGCCTTCAGCCGGGATTTCTCTTCGTCGCGCTTCTTGCGCGCGGTGCTGATCTCCTTCTCCTTTGCTGCAAGGTGCTTCCGCGCCTCGTCGCGCGCCTTGCACGCGTCCACGCACATGGCCTACAGGTATGTGTGTGTGTGTGTGTGCGTGAGAGAGCGGAGGGTGTGTTGAGGCAGAGAGAGAGAGTGTGTGTGTGCATGAAAAGACGATGCGCAAAGCTAGTTGCAGCAGATGTGCTGTCACTTTGAAAAACAACCGCACAAGGCAGCACGTACACATCCTGACACAACGGCACGTCAATCAAACCATAAACACACACACACACACACACACACACACACACACCTCGACCCGCACGAGCTCCTCCTTGCGCTGTGAGAGAGTCTTCTCGAGTTCTGTGATGCTGTTGTCAAAGTGCAGCCTGTCCTGCTCCAGCTTGCGGATAATCTGCTTGTATGTCTTGCCGACGTGCTGGGCCTCGTTGAACTTGATGTTGGCCTTGTCCAGCCTGTTCTCGAGCGTGCGCAGCTTCTGGCTCTCCTGCGACGCGCCGCCGCTGTTCTTCTGCTGGTGTGCCTCTTCAAGCGTGAGTTCGTGCAGCTGCTTCTTCAGCTCCTCCAGCCGCTTCTCCTTCTGCTTGGCCTCGTGCCGGAGCGTGTTGCGCCTCATCTTTGTCTTTGTAATCTTCTCCTGCATGGAGTTGGTGCCCGTCTCCTCGACAACATGTGTGTTGAACTTGAGCTGCACGCATGTGTTTGTGTGTGTGTGTGGTGGGGGGGGGAGGGGGTTATGATGTGGGTGCGTGTGTGTATGTTTGTGTGTGCGAATTGTTGAGCGAGAAAGAGAGTGTGTGTGTGTGAGTGAGTGAGTGAGTGTGTGTGTGTGAGTGTGTGTGAGAGAGAGTGTGTGTGTGTTTGTGTGTGTGTGTTTGTGAGTGAATGCGCTCATGTGTGAGAGCTCATGTTGAGTGTGTGGTTCACGATGCAGACACGGTGGAAACAGCAGGAACGTTCATCATGTCATTTCCAGCACAGCTTCTTCGCGCCACATATGGCACCGACCTTGATATCCTTGAGTTTCTGCGTGAGCTGCTTGTTCTCCTTCTTGAGCTTGGCGATTTTGTCCTTGTTGGTCTTGATGACCGCTTGCGAGTTCTCATAGTATGCCTTGCGATCACCCTCTGTCCAAATTGGTTGGTGCATAAGGCGGTGAGTTTGGGTGGCGGATGTGAGCAACTGCAATGCCAGCACCCATCGCAGCAAAACAACAAACAACCAAACAGCTACATCACACACATACACGCACACGCCCAACAAACTCAACACCATCATCGCATGAAGCAACTGCTGCGACAAAACCAGCCACAAAACCAGTTTCAACACCAGCTACAACACCCACTCACACACCACACACACACTCATACACAGACACAGACACACACCAAGGAGGGTGAGCTTCTTCTTGAGCTCGTCTGGTGCCTCATCGTGGAGGCGCTGTGTTCTCCCCAGCGTTGCCATCGTCGCGGGTGTGTTTGTCGGTGTTGGTGGTTGCGCCGCTTGCTTGTTGCTTGTTGTTCTTAGCGACCAAGCAGAAGAGAGAAAAGTGCCTGCTAATTTCGCTGACTCGACACTTTTTGTTAAATTTTCATGGTGTCGTAAAGAGGGATGGCGGTGCTTTGGTTGGTGGAGTTCCTGCTGTCGAACTCCAACCAATCTCCCACTACCATCATCTCCCCACATCCTTCCCACACCTTCATCCCTTCCCACCTTCATCGATTCAGTGTACAGTTAAGAGGAACATACAGGCAGGCAGGCAAGCAAGCAAGGGTGATAAGAACAAGAAGAAAGACAAGAAAGAGCACGCCACACGGATAGGAACAAGAAGAGGTGGAAGGGGAAGGAGCGTTATGCCACAACACGCACACAATCTTTGTCACAAGAACCAAGAACCCAAGCACAAGCAGGCAACACAAAGCAATGGATATGCACAAGGATGGCCGGTACAACACATACAACACACACACACAATGGTGACAGAGGGGCGACTTTCTGTGGTGTTGTTGGAGCGTGGCTTCGGGGTTTAGTCACGCTTGAAGCGTGTTGGACGCTGTGGCTCTTGTGGCGCTGCGGCGAGGTGGAGTGCACGCATCACATCGTCGACACTGCAATCACTCAGCACAAACAGGGCACACAAACCTGCCACATGTGTGTGAATTGGAGGTTGGGGGGGGGTGTTAGAGCAGAAGTGTGAGATGTGAAGTGCGAGATGTGTAGAGTATGTGGTGTGCGGCAGGAAGCGCGTGGGGCGGCATTTGTATATCAAAAGGAAAAGCGGCAATCAAACGGCGGTGTTTGAGAGGGGCGCAGAACGGCAACTGCACACAAATACTCAGAAGGGCGTGCTACACGCAGTTGGTACCACGATCTTCATTCACACACACTCTCTCTCACCGCAGATGAAGAGGAGCATAATGTCCGAGATGACCCAGGAGAAGAGGCCGAACAAGAAGGAGCCCAACGCGAGGATGATGATCACATACTGTCGACACGGTTAAGCACATGGTGCAGCAAGAGGTGTGGGGGAACGCAAAGAGTGAATGAGAGGAGGGTGGATAGGTGGGTGGGAAATGAGCAAGTGCACGCCTACGCTTGCGCGCTCCCACATACGCACACACACGCACACACGATACGAAACGCACGCACACGCGACACGCAACGCACATGCACACACACACACACACCACAATAACCCCTCCGCCCCCCTTCCTCTTCTGTAATTGCCTCACCACAATTGGCCGGGATGTGCGGAGCGCTGCGAGCCGACTGCAGGCCGTCTCGACGGCCGAGTGGGCAGAGGCAATCTTGCCTGCAAGCTGGTTGATGGCGATGCGCTGGTCGTTGGTAATCTTCTTGTTCTTGCTCTTCATGTTGCGCTGGTAGCACAGGATAAAGTGGGCAGGGATGGCCAGCGCCGCGACGCAGAGGAAGAGGAAGGACATCACGGATGCGTTCCAGAAGGGAAGCCAGACACAAAACGCCGTCCACCCAAGCAGCGTCGCCAGGAAGCGCTTCGGGTGCCGGCGCGGGTGCATCACGGACTGGAACAGCACACAGATGTGCCGCTGATGGAACAAGAACTCGTCCCAGTCCTTGTGTCGCTCGCAACAAAAGGCGCCCGCCGCTGCTGCCGATGCCGACGACGACGACGCCGATGTCGCCGCTTGTGTCGCATGTTGCCTCTGCTGCTGCTGCTGCTGCTGTAACGACCGCCTCATGTCTGTGTGTCGTGTATGTTGTGATGTGTGTATGAATGGATGTATGCGTGTGTCGGTGGTGTGGTGACCTTTGCTGTGGTCAGGAGCTGGAGCTGGCCGTCTGTATGTGAGGGTATGCGTGGTGGTGTGGTGACCTTTGCTGTGGTCAAGAGATGGAGCTGGCCGGCTGTATGTGTTGAGGGTGTGGTGTTTGGTCCGTTCCTTTCAACCTCGCAATCGTTGTCCACGAAATTTTCGGTGTATGCTTAAACTGAATTCAGTCTTTCAGAGGGAAGTTGTTTCAGTCAGGCAAGCGAGGCAGGGCAAGCAGGTCAGCATGGCATGGGTGGCAGCAAAGTTAGATGGATGGCCCCAACAAGCAAGCAAGGGAGCCACCAGTGAACGTCATCAACGGGGGAATTGTGTGTCCGTTCAATGGCATAAAGGAAACCAAAGAAAAGAAGGGAACACGGCAGTTTGTAGGGATCAACAAACGACAAAAACAAATGGGTCACAAGCAGGATAACAAAATCGTGACATCATGTTGTTGTTGTTGTTGTTGTTGTTGTTGGTGGTGGTGGGTTGGTATCGGATGGCATCCGTTTCTGCTCTTGTTGGTCGGTCGGTCGGTCGGTTACGGGTGGGTGGTTTACTGCTGCTTCTTGTTGTTGGAAGCAGTGGTGGTGGAGTCGTCGTCGCTGTGCAGCTCGGCAATCTCGTCCTTGACGGCGCTGATGGCCTCCGTGGCCTGCTGCAGGTTCTCCACAAGCTCCTCTGGCAGCTCAAGCTGGGTGCCGACCTGGAAGCGGCCGGGCCCAATGCACGAGTCGAGGCCGCCAAGCTCACGCGAGCGGCGGTACGCGGCCCAGATGGCGTCAGAGAAGACGGTGCGCATGCCGCCGCGCTCAAGCTGGTACAGCGCAGCCGCCGTAGTGCCGCCAGGGGAGGTGATGTCGTTCTTCAGCATCGACGGGTGCTCGCCAGAGGCCAGGGCCAGGTTGACCGCGCCGCGGACCGTGTGCAGCACGAGCTTGCGGGACACGTCGCGCGCAAAGCCCATGTGCACGCCGGCGTCAATCATGGCCTCGAACATGAGCTGGCACATGGCGGGCCCGCTGCCGGAGAGGGCGGTGGCCATATCCAGCATGCGCTCGTCGGAGAGCAGCACCTCTGCACCAAAGGCGCTGAGGAGCTCCTTGGCCTGGCGCCGCTGCTCCGGCGACACCTCCTGCGTAAACGTCCAGCTGGTGATGGATTCGTTGATGAGGGCGGGCGTGTTGGGCATGGCGCGCACGACACGCTTGACGCCGAGGCCCTCGCGGATCTGGCTCAGCGTGAAGCCGGCAGCAATGGACACGACCAGGCAGTCCTTGGAAATGGTGTCGCGGATGCTGTCAAAGACGAGCGCCATGGTCTGCGGCTTGACGGCGAGGATGAGAATGTCAGCGCCCTTGGCGGCAGAGGCGTTGTTTGCCGTGGTGAGGATGTGGAAGCGGTCCTTGAGGTAGGTGCGGCGGCCCGCGTTGGGGTCGCACGCCGTCACCTGCGTTGCCTCCACGGCACCGCCGTTGACCATGCCGCCCATCATCGCCTCCGCCATCTTGCCGCTGCCCAGGAACACAATCTTCTTGTCCTTGAGCGCGACCGAGGGCTGGCGCTGCTTGACTTGCTCCTCGCCCTGGCTCTGCTGCTCGTTTTGCGCCTGCTTGCCGTCGTCGGGCACTTCTTCAACCACGGCCTCCGCGTTGGCGCTCTGCAGCGTCTTGCGACTTCTCCTCAGGGCGCACGCCGTTGTGTGCAGGAAGCGGGCGCTGGGCATGGTCGGGGGCCGGCTCAGCATCTGCGAGGGCGGGAATTTGGCCGCGTGGTAGCGCATGTCCGGGCGCGGGCGGGCCAGCGGCTGCTGCTTGAGCAGGCCGCGTGCCTTGAGCGACGCGCGTTTCGTCGCACTGCCAGCAGTGTTGCTGCTATTTCTGGGGGCTGCGGGTGCGGGTTCTGCGCGCATGAAGCGCGTCGACGTGTGCATCTGGCGGGCGGTGCAGGCGGTGGGAGGGCGCGACATGACCTCCGTCGGCGGGAATTTTGCCGCGTGGTAGCGCAGGTCTGGGCGGCCCGATGTCCTGCCGACGCGCATGGCGGCTGCGGACGACTTGTTCGCCGCAGAGCTGCCGCGCATGATGGTGGCCGGGGAGATGATCTTGGTGCGCGTGCGCGGTGCGGTCTGCGCGGCCGCGGCCGCAGCCCGGCTGGCTTGGGCACTGACGGACAGCGCTCTCCTTGTTGTTCGTGTCATGGGAGTGGCCATCTTGTTGAGTAAGGGTGGGAGGGTATGTGTTGTTGTCGTTGTTGTTGTTGCTGGGGATCTGTTACTTCTGTTCTGTTCTAGTGAGGAGACTACACTGCAGTAATGTAATGCGACGTGGAAGGAAAGTGGTCACAGACAACTTGTGTGGAGAAGGGAGATTGGTTGACTTGAGATCGGATTGAGTTGGGAGTTTGAGATGAGAGAGGACAGGGCGAGAGGTGATGGGTGTGTGGCGTGATGATGTGTGGCGCAAAGTCTGATGATGATCTGAGAGGTAAATGGTGACTTTTCTGGGAAGGAAGCGAGCAAGGTTGATGGTGGTGGTGGTGCTGCTGCTGCTGTGGCCGCATGTCGTCGCTTGAAGCGCAGGTTGGTTGGTTGGTTGGTGGTGTTGCTCACATCTGCCACTTTCCATCGCATGTCCGTGATCGCAGAAACGAACCCAAACCAAGAACAGCGCCTGAAGTCAGTGGAATCGTCTAAACTGAAATCAGTCGATACAGTGGTTCGTAACCAACTGAGTTCAGTTGTTGACTCATTAAATGGAGATTTTGTTCATTTCAGGGGGTACTGATGTCAGTCGAATGTTGGAACTGAGATCAGTTGATGTGCGGGAAGTTTAAGGCGGTTTTGAAGAAAAACGTCATCGGGCACATGGCAAACCCATTTGAAGAAATTGCCGAATATTAGGAACGTCTTGAAAGAAGAAAATCTATTTCGGGCACGTGCAAAGCCCGGTCAAAACGGCGCACAAACACAAGCATGTAGAATACAACTTGTGGTGTATGATGGAGTCCGCGACACGCGACACTCAGAAGTATGTGTTTGTTTGCATTGTGTGGGTGTGTGCGGGTGTGCGGGTGTGTGTGTGTGTGGGTGTGTGGGTGTGTGGGTGTGTTTGCATGCGCGTCTCTGTCTCTCCCTGTCACTCACTCTCTCACTCACACACACACACTCTCTCTCGCTCTCTCTCCTCTGTCCGTCACAACCACACCACGACCTGCAACAAATTCATTAGATGTACATAATTGTAGAATTGTCGTTGTAACAAACGCGCAGGTGATGCGCAGGACATAATTAACCAAGCATGGGGTGGTTGAAAACGGAAAGTTGGCGCCACACACACACACTCTCGCACACTCACACACGCACACAAACGGACACAACACATGCACACGCACACACTCACACACTCACACACACGCACACACACATATGCCGCATAGGTCAAATCAGTTAATGAAATCAGGCGTCAGAAGATGGTTGGTGAGCGGTGGCATTCCCACTGGTGGTGTCTGCAGACATGGCGGCATCCGAAGACACTGCTGTAGATGCTGCTGCTGCGTCATTTCTCCGCCACCGCCCTTGCCGCAGCTGTTGCTGTTGCTGGCGATCGTTGGTGTTTGGATGGCACAGCGGCGGAAGGGAGCGAGGTACCCGGGGCGGGGGTCGAGGGGTGAGCGACTCGACCTTGAGCGCATCGTCGCTCCAGCTCGGGCGTGACGGGCGCTGTGGCGGCGTGCGGATATCCCGAACGTCAATCTGCAGCGGCGGTACGTTTGTGTGTGTGTGTGTGTGTGTGTGTGTGTGTGTGTGTGTGTGTGTGTGTGTGTGTGTGTGTGTGTGTGTGTGTGTGTGCTGACAATACTGCCGTATGCGCGTGTGGTGTCATCACAAACAACGTCAGCGACCACACACAAGCAGAAACACGACAACCCCAACGCAGCGCCACCTCAACTCACATCCCACGTGTCCGTGTGGCTGGTGGTGCTGGCGCCAAGACGTGAGTCGCGCAGCTCGTAGTACTGTGATTTCGCGTCGCTGATGCTTCCGGGCACGTGCGGATCAACCGACGCATACGGGTCCTCCTCCTCGCCTGCAATGGGTGCATGCATGCATGTGTGTGTGTGTGTGTGAATGTTTCTGTGAACATCTGCAAACGGTGCAGCACAAGCGATGCAAGCTCAAAATGCGCACACCCGCATTCAGCATGTACACAAACCACCCCCCCCCACACACACACACACAACTCACGTCGCATAGGACGATCGTAGCCGGGTCCCGTGCGCGGCAGTGGCTGGTATCCACCATCATCACCACCACCACCACGCGTATCACCACGGCCAAATGCGGCGTTGCGGTATTCAACACCACCGCTCTCGTAATCGCCCTCCAGCCACGCAGACCGCGCACTGCCCGGGCGCTCCTGATGTGCACGACTGCTGCTGCTGCTGCTGTTGCTGCCGAAGAGGGGATTGGCAAAGGACGTGGTGGCGCCTGATGGTTCGCGAAGGAGAGACGGAGAGAGAGAGAGAGAGAGAGAGTGTGTGTGTGTGTGTGTGTGTGTGCGTGTGCGTATGCGAGTGTGGGTGTGTGAGTGTGTGTGTGTGTGAGTGTGTGTGGGTGTGGGTGTGTGTGTGTGGGTGTGTGAGTGCATGTGTGAGTGCGTGAGAAAGTGAGCGAGAGAGAGGGACAAAAACCCACAAACACACAAACTCACACGCACACACGCACACAAGCACAAGTACACTCACTCGTGCATATACACACAAACACAAGTGGGAAACCAGCTGCCGTCACTGCTGCTGCTGTTGCATCCGAACCACAACTACAACTCCAAAAAGTGAACGCGACAGGACCTGTTTCGGCCTTGCGCGGCGTTCCATCGTCGGTTGCCTCAGGAACGACAATCACGCGCACCTGAAATGCAAAGTTAAGGGCAGTGGAAAGAGGGAGAGACAGAGACAGAGAGAGAGAGAGACAGAGAGTGAGTGAGTGAGTGAGTGAGTGAGTGAGTGAGTGAGTGAGTGAGTGAGTGAGTGAGTGAGTGAGTGAGTGAGGTGGAGGGGGGGGGGAGGAGAGGAGAGGGGGGGGGGGAGGGAGGGGGAGAGAGAGAGATATTTCGACAAGAGTGGTACTCATGAACATGGATCGGGGTATGTTCGTGTGCAAACCCATGCAAACACAACACACAAACACAACACACACAAACACAACACACACACAAACACAACACACACACACACACACACACAAACACAACACACACACACAAAAGCGTGCGCACACATCACCCACACAAGAGTACTCACCTTTGCCTTGCCGCGGACGAGGTACATGATGCCGGCACCGGCAATGCAGCCGAGAGCAATGCAGATGAAGACAACGCCGACGACGGGGATGGACGCGCCGCTGTCGCTGCTCGATGACGCTTTGGGGACCACTGCATGGCGACAGGGAAGGTGGGCGTTCAGTTCATGAAAATGGATAGAACGTGCGGAAGGATGAGCCATGTGTAGCGAACGAAAATATGAGTGGGGTGTACGTGAAACACAAAGCAAACCAAGCCACCAACCAACACAGCACAGCTATAGCACACGTGCATACGTGGACAAGCACGCAGATCCAATTCCACGCACTGATTTGGTCGCAGCCGCGGGTGGTGGCATTGAGGTAGCAGTCGATGCACTCCATGCGACTGGCAGAGTGCTGGAAAGCAACCGGGGTGGACAATGGGGTAAGAGGTACACATGAAGTTGTTTGATCACTTGCTGGTGCACGAACCAACAGAGAAACAAAGCACGCATCACACACGCACGAATACACATCACGCATCACACACACGCCAAAACACACACGCACACACCAAAACACACACACACGCACACATACACATCACACACACACACGCCAAAACACACACACACACACACACACACACACACACACACACACACACACACACACACACACACATACACACACACACACACACACACACACACACACACACACACACACACACACACACCACACGCACCACGTGTCCCGGCGGGCAGGAGGAGCAGGGGGCGTAGCCGGTGGCGCTAAATTGATCAACGCCGCATGGACGGCGCTCGCTCGTGAAATTGGCGACATAGGAAACACCGCCATCAACCAGCGGCCACGTGATGGCAATCTGACCGGCAGAAATGTCCTCCTCAATGGCATCGCGCACGCGGAACAGCACATCTTGCATCACGGCGGTGTCCGCACCGCTGGTCGTCCCCGCGTCATAAACGAGTGCCGCCTCCACAATCGTGCTGCCCTCGCGCAGCCGCACGACATACGCGCGCACGCGCTCGCCGCTGTCACGGCCGCTGATGGCGGAGATGCGGCTCTTGATGATGCCGGCCATTTCGTCCATAAACGCGGTCGTGCCGCCACTTCGCACAAGTGCAAACTCCAGCGCCTTAAACACGAATTGTACGGAGACAACAGCCGTTGCCTGCACGCACGTGCGATCGCTCGTTGGTGTCGGCGCCTGCACCTCAACGTCATCACCGCGGCACTCGGACAACTGGACGCACGCGCCGGTGCCAATGTCCGTGTACGCCTTGAGCGTGTTGCACTGACACACCCTGTCCGACACGGCGGTGGCGGGGGCAACTTCCACCTCAAGCTCACCGCACGTGCTCACCTCCTGGCACTGCTGCGACTGGGCAGGGTCGTGGTAGAACGACACGCCGTCACACAGCTCACACACGCGGTTGGTGGTCGTCGTTGGTGGTGACACCTCCACGTGGCCAATCGGACACTGCGCTGCGTCAAAGCACTGCGTCTGTCCGGAATACGGCTGATACGTCCCGTCCACACATGGCATGCAGCTCTGAACCGCCCCACCACCAGACGACGACGATGATGATGACGATGAAGATGATGACGATGATGGCAGGTGGGTGCCTGGTGGACATGGCTGACACACAACGTCAGACGTCGGCGTCAGCGCCTGCTGTACATATTCACCGCGACCACACCCACTCGACACAAGACAGAACCGGCTCCCTGCTCGCGGCTGGTACGCGTTGAGCGACACGTCACACCGCGTGCACTCCCGGTCAGATGTCACAGTTGCGGGCGCAGACTCATAACTGCCCGCTGCACACGGTGCGCGCACGGTAAGGCACTCCCGTGCGTTGGCTTCCGGCTGGTACGAAACGCCCGCCACACACGCGCTGCACACGCGGTCTGTCGATAGCGTTGGCGACTGCACGACCATTGACCCGGGCAGGCAGTCGCTCACAGCCTCGCACGCCCCGGCATCGCTGTTCGGGTCGTCTGACCACGTGCCAACGGCACACGCCGCACAGATGCGGTCACTGGTCGCTGATGGCGAAACGCTCACGTGTGTGCCCGCACCACACGTGCTGTGAGGCGCGCACGTGTCTGCATTCACAGACACAGAATACGTGCCATCCACACACGCAACGCACGCCACATCCGTCGTCGCTGTACCGCCAACGCGGTGGGTGCCGGGCTGGCACACGCGGTGCGCTGTGCACGAGAACGCGTTGCTGACATTGCTGAACGTGTTCGCTGGACACGGCGCGCACGTTTGGTCCCCAGATGGGCTGCCGATGACACTCACGCGCGTGCCGGGTGGACAGGACGTGTATGGCGTGCATGCTGGCGCATTCTCGTGAATGGAGAACGTGCCATCGTTGCACGTGCTGCACACGCGGTCGCTGCTGGCTGTGGGCTGCTGTTGCACATGCTCGCCCGCAACACACGTGGTGAATGGCGTGCATGCAGGCATATCTGCAGACCGAAACGTGTTGTGGCCACACGGCGAGCATAGCCGGTCACTGGAAGATGTGGGAGCCACCACTTGCACCGTGCCTGCATCATACACCGTCCATGCTTGACATGCGTCGGTGTTGGTGTCTTGCGAGAATGTTCCATCTTGGCACGGCGCACACACGCGATCAGAGGTCTTCGTCGCGTTCACGGCAACAAAGTGGCCGGACCTGCAGCTCGACAGCGCGCGGCACACGCGGTTGCTCGTCGCTGTTGGCGGCACTGCCTCAAACTCGCTCCCATCCGCACACGTGTCCAGTGGCGCGCAGGTCACGTTGGCAGTTGGCGTGCACGGTGACGATGCAAACGCTCGCGGCCCACACGTCCCACACGCGCTGCACACGCGCTCCGTCGATGCTGTGCACGGCGCCGTCTCAAACGACACACCGGCATCACACGTCACGTTGCCGCACCCGCGGCACACGGCATCGCTCGTGGCCGTGCAGGGCTGTGTTGCACCGAGCGGGCACACGGTACACGGCGTGCACGTGCGGTCGGAAACAAAGGCATCGCCGTCTGCACCCATTTGGGGCATTCGCTCCTCGTACTCGGACGGTGAACAGACCGTCAACGGCGTGCACTGGCGGTTGGTCGTTGATGTTGGCGGCACGCTCATGTACTCGTCACGCGTACACACACGCAGCGAAGAGCACGCCCGGTCCGTGGTCATCGTTGGTGGCGACGAGGCATACTCGATCGAGCTGTTGCATGCACGCAACGACACGCACGTGCCCATCTGGCCGGAGAAGAATGTATCTGCACCGCAAGGGCGACACACGCGGTCGCTCGTTGCTGTTGGCGGCTGCACCTCCTCGCTCAGTTGACATGGCGCTGTCGCATTGAAGCACGCAAAGTCACCGGCAAACGGCTTGTACGTCTCGGTTGGACACGGTACACACACACGATCCGACGTTGGTGTTGGCGACACCAGTGGCTGCTGCCCAGCGCCACACGTCGACCACGGCCTGCATGTGCCAGCGTTGGCTGCAGCCGTGAACGTGCGCGGCGGGCAGCGCTTGCATGTCGTGTCGCGGTCAACCGTAGCATTGAGGACCACAAACGTGCCGGGTTCACAGGGTGACACGGGCTTGCACGTGGTCTGCGCTGTTTCGTCCTGGAATGTGTTCCCTACGTCGCAAGCAACACACAGCGTGCTCGCATCCAGGTCGTCATCATAACTGCCTGTGGAGTGATGGGCGGAGAAGTGGGGTGAGGGATGAGCGAGAAAGGCGGAAAGGGGTGAAAGAGCGGAAACAAGATGAAGGAGGGTGTGAGTGTGGGTTTATGCATGAGTGGAGACGGGTGCAGAAAAGAGGGTTGAATAGCTTCATGTCAGTCATGGGAGTCGCGTGGTGCAATGCTCAAGGCACGTTGTGGAGCTCTTCGGCAGACAACACACCTTGCTGGCAGGGTTGACATTCACCGATGTTGCCTGCTTGTGTGAATGTACCCGGTGCACACTGCACGCATGCGGTGGTGCTGTTGGCATCGTGGTCCGTCCATCCAGCAGGGCATGGGGCGCACGTGTCCATCGTGTCGTTTCGATACGATCCCGCGGGACACGCAGACGCCGGCACGCACGCTGCACGTTGTGTGTGCATGTACGTATGCGTGCATGTGTGTGTATGTGTGTGTGCATGCGTGTGTGCATGCGTGTGTGCATGCGTGTGTATGTGTGTGTGTGTGTGTGTGTGTGTGTGTGTGTGTGTGTGTGTGTGTGTGTGTGTGTGTGTGTGTGTGTGTGTGTGTGTCTGGGGTGAGCGAGGAGAGGGATCCATTCACAGCGACAGCAAGAAGTGTGTCATGGTGTTAGCATTGATTGCACAGAGACGATGGAAACGAAGGCAATTCAGGCGTCAAACTGTTCACCTCTGTCTGACGTTGGGGTTGGCGGCACAATCTCTCGCTCATCTGCACTGCACACCTCCAAGTCAATGCACACGGTATTCTGTTTCATGGCGGCAGCAGCAACGGCGGTGGTGGTAGTGGTGGAGACAGATGGGTGTGAGTGATTGAGTGAGTGACAGAGTGAGTGAGGGACGAAGGGACGGAGGCAACAAAGAGTCGGTGCAGTTGTGGGCACGTGAGAACATGGCACGAGCAAAACACGCAACAACCAAGCAAGCATTGACCGACACATTCATCAATCCCTCAACTTCCACCGCCACTTGTTCATCGGCTTAGCAACGCACCGAGATGTCGGTGCAGGGTGCTGCCTGGTATTGCGTGGTGGGGTCGCATTGCGCGCAGTGCACGCACGTGTAGGAAGAGCGGTCCTTGAAGGTGTTTGCAGGGCATGACGCAACGCACGTCGCACCCGCAGTTGTGTTGCGCAGGAACAGATCTTCCAGCGGGCTGCAGGACAGGCAGTCGCTGCTCGTTGGGCCCGCACACGTGTAGCACTCCCGCGCACATGGCATGCAGACACCGCTGCCGTCGTTGAAGTAGCCGTTTTCGCACGCGGATTCGCACTTTCGCGTCACCGCAGAGAGAACGAGACCAGACCGGCACTGGCGACACTGCGGGGTGTCGTCGACAGCAGCGCACTCGACGCAGCCCGAGGGGCAGGCCACACACCTGGGCGTGGTGTACTCCCCGCACGCGCCAATGAGCACTGCATTGCTGCTGCAGTCACTCGCACGCACGCACTGCCCGCACGTGCCGTCCGGCTTTGTGTACCAGCCGCTGTTGGTCTGGTGGCACGACACGTTGGTACTCGGCGGCAGCACGGGCCCGTCGCCGGAATCGCACACCACCAGCGACGCGCCGCCAAACAGCACCGCACGTGGGCACTCCGCATGCGTCTCGCACAGGCCCATGGTGGCGTTGGTGCTGGCACCGCCTGACACGGCAGGATGGGCAGTGCACGGGCTCAAGCACGCGCAAGAGCGGTCAGCGGTGATGACCGGGGAGCGACACACGGCCACGTGCTCTTGTGGTGGCGCCGAGGAGGAGGAGGAGGAGGAGAATGACGACGGGGTACAGGGTGCTGTGAACCACGCAGAGGGGCGGGGACCACTGGGAAGGCTGCACAAGTGTGTGTGTGTGTGTGTGTGTGTGTGTGTGTGTGTGTGTGTGTGTGTGTGTGTGTGTGTGTGTGTGTGTGTGTGTGTGTGTGTGTGTGTGAAAGTGAAGATGATCGTGAATGTGAAAAGCAAGGAAGCTGCGATGGTATCATCTCGCGTGACAATTACGTGTGTGCTCACCTTGCCAAGAATGCGCACGAGTCGTTAGTCAGGACAGCAGTTGATGCGTTCCAGTTGCTGAAGAGGAAAGGGCTTCCGTCCATCCACTGCGGTGATGATGACGACGATGATGGCTGGAGACCGAGCCAGGCACTCGTGCCGTTTGTGAGGCGAAGAATGAGTGCTTCGTCCGCGTCGCTGGAAACGGGGGGGAGTGGTATGGAGAATATGAAATTGGGAATGGGGGGGGGGAGGGTGGTTTGATAAGCAACAACACACACGCACACACGCACACACGCACGCACACATGCACGCACACATGCACACACACGCACACACATGTGTTAAGACATCGTGACCTGTCCATTGTTGTCACAACAAGAGAAACAGACAGACACGAACATATACTTGGTTACCTGTGCACGCTGGTGATTGTGGCTCCCTGTGCGTCACAGAGCGCCACAGCGTCGGTGAAAGCCGTGGTGTTGCCGACAGCGCGGTAGCAGCGGCTGCGGTGAAGCGTCCATCCAGAGGGGCACAGGCCGCCGTGGTCGGAGCACACGTACGAGAGGCGAAAACTCGTGCACGGGTGCTGTTCCTGGTGGGAGTTGGTGTACAGCCAACCAGGGAACGGTGAAGGTTGGGCCTGTGGTGGTGGTGGTGGTGGTGAGTGAGTGAGTGAGAGAGAGAGTGTGTGTGTGTGTGTGTGTGTGTGAGTGTGAGTGTGAGTGTGAGTATGAGTAGAAGAGGAAGGCATATTATCACCAAGGTGAAGTACTGGCAAGGCGAGAAGCACCCAAACGTGCACGTGCACAGTCAAACGTGGCCAGATACGAAATCTTCGTGCGCACCTCTGGGCATGTGTCGTCGACGAAACAGTAGTCGTCGTTGGCGCCGAATCGACCACACGTCTGCGCAAGCGCTGGCGGGAGATCTCCCAAACACATACACGCGGGAACATTGGAGACCTGGCCCGTGATGGTGGCACCGTCGTCGCTCTGCCGCCCCGTGATCTGGAACGAGGCCACGCCGGGTACAAGCGGCGTCACCCACGCATCGCCGCCGTTGGGGGCGACAACGAACGATTGGCACTGCGATGATGAGAGCTGACCCCTGGCCATGAACTGGGACGAGCCATACTGGTGGTCAAAGTCCACCAGCACGCGCACGTGCCCGGTTTCGTCGATACTCTCAACGTACACGTCGAGGCGGCGAGAGATCTCCACGCCATTGCCAGCAGTTGCTGCTGGGGGCGTGAGAGCTGTGGTGGTGGCATTGGTGGTGTTCGCTGTTGTGTCCATCAGCCCGCACAACATCGTGCCCGTGAAGTGGTCACCAGCATCAATCTCAACTGCAGGCGGAAGAAACGCGTGAATGTGGGTGAAGGTGAGTGAACGTGGGTGGAGGTGTGGGAAGGTGGGTGAACGTGGGTGGATGTGCGGGAAGATATGTGAATGTAGCGGTACGTGATTCAGGTGACGACAAGACAAAATACAAAGGCACAAAGGCACGCACACACACACACACACACACACACACACTCGCTCACTCACTCACTCACTCACTCACACACACACACACACACACACACTCACACACACGCACACACACACGCACACACGGTTATGCACACACTCTCACGCAACACGTTCACACACCTTGAGTTGTGTCGGTGCAGAGGCGACGAAGAGCAAAGTGGCCGTTGGGCGCATACGGCCCAGAGATGGTCAACTTTCCGCTCTGCAGGGCAACTGCGCCCACCAAATCCTGGCGAGGATAGGAGCGGTCTGTGATGCCGCCCCAGCCGTAAAACCCGCGCGTGTACACCAGCGCCACGTGCGTTTCGTTGATGGCAGTGATGGTGACGTAGAAGACAGACCGCCCTGGTGTGCGGCAGCCGAGCGTTGGATCGCACGACAGGCTGTGGCGAAGGGTCATGAGCACGTTCACCCGTGTGGGTACGTCGTTAGTGTCATGGGTGATGCTCTCGACCTCCATCTCCATGGCGCCCTGATCGCCGTCTGCAGTGTAGGTGCCAGACCACATGTTGCCAACAGCCACGTAGTGCAAGGGGGAGCGCGAGGCTGCTTCAGCTGTTGCTGTGGACGACGATGATGACGACGATGATGATGATGATGAGTTGGCTGGTGGCGGTGGAGGAATGCAGCTGTCGATGCCGGTTGATCGGGGAGGGGAGACGAGTCCAGACGGGCAGGCCACGCACTTGGTCTGCGGTCCATTTGCGTATGTGTCTGCGCGGCACGGCTGGCACCCGTACTCCCGCTCACCGGTGGCGGAGACGGTGCCTGGTGCACATGGCCCGTACTGCTGCGTGAACGCCATAGTATATGTATCACCAACAGCCGGCGGCCAGACAACAGCGACAGCGCCGCTCTCCACCGATTGCTGTAAGATATCGCGAAAAGCAGGCGACGGCAACAGCACATTTGCGAGCAGCGTGGCGTTGTTGGCGTTGGGGTCTGGGGTGATGGTGAGGGCAATACTAGATGCAACTGCGCTCCCCTCATCCACGCCCAGGACAGACAGAACGACCGCGCGAAGCGTCTATGGAGGGGAACGGGGTGGGGGGGGGGACACGGGGGTGAGAATTTGGTGATACGTCACGTGGAGTGAGGCAGCAGAATGGCAGACGATCCGGGCGCACGAAGGCAGGAACGCACACATGCGCGCGCGCACACTGCACACACACGCACACACCTGAGTGAAGAGCTGTGCTGCTTTGGAGGTTGAGGCATCATCGGTGGGGACGTTGGTGGTGAATGTGACATGGAACTGGCGCTCGTAATACGTGCGCTCAATCAGCGGTGCACACACGAGCGGTGCAGTGAAAGTCGCCTCTGTAGCCGATATCAGGCTCTCATCCGCCGCTGACGATGATGATGATGATGACATGGATGAGAGTGCGCGGGTGGCGCGGGTGGCGTGGAGGATCTCGCACAGCCACTCGCCGTCCGTGTGGAAGGCGACACAGCACGGGTCATGCATGCATGCCTGCGCACACGCCTCGGGGCGGGCAAAGAACTCGCCACCGCGCGGTGTGGTGACGTCGAGGCGGCAGTTGGCAAAGGCGCGAAACAGAGATGCGGTCAGCACTCGCTTGGTGCCCGGGCGCTCGTAGTAGCTCAGCTGCTCGATGGGCAGCAGCACTGATGGGTCTGTTCCGGGGAGGGAGGGGAAATGGCGAGTGATGTTGAGGGGGGCGGGAGTTTGTGGATGAGACAGGAACGAAACGGTGGGGCGTGTGGAGGAAATGAGGGGAGGAGGTGGGAACTGTGATGAGCACGAGAGGAAGGGAAAAAGATCGTGCGGAAATCCACACCGCATGACACACACACACACACACACACACACACACACACACAAAGCACGCGTGCAAGCGTGTACACGATCATGTCAGTCAAACTGCGACAGCAGTAACAGGTACATGCACGCATACCGTTGCCAAAGTCCTTGAGGTTCGCGTAGCTGAGGAAGCAGTCGCCCTCCTGGTGGAGACCAAGCACACCTGCAATCATGGACTTGCACCCGGCGTCATCCAAACACAGCTGCGCACACTCTTCCAGCGTCTTGTGGTCCACCTGCTCAAGGTAGTACCCGCCAAGCGTGTCACTCTCCAGAAACTGCTGCGGGTACACGGTAAACACGCCCAGCGCGCTGTCCGGCTGCACAACACAGCTGTCGACGCTTGGAGATGCGCCTCCGTACGTTGTTGTGCCGTTTGGGCACAGCGCGCACTCAAACGGGGATGCACTGAACGTGCCGACGGGGCAGTCTGTGCACGGCGGGCGACCCGTGTCCGTGTTCACGCTGCCTGCTGGGCACTCTGAGGGGCGTGTGACAATGCTGAACAGACCCGTGTTGCGGTGCGTGGGCGCAGGCGTTTCCCCCGGCTGCACGTTGTGGAAGATCACGACAGCATAATCTGTGCGCGGCGTGAGGCCGGTTGGAATGCGCCACTTGTACGTGCCGTCGTTGCGTGCCTGTGGTGTGTTGCCGGGGGTGAGAACAACGGTCAGGAAATGATGAGGGTATGTGCGCAGATTGGTGCATGGGATGACGCAACGGCAGCAGCAACGAACACATGAAGAAAGTATAGCTTGTGCATGCACACGCACATACACACACACACACATGCACATGCACGTCAACAGTCGTGACGGGTGGCCTGCACCTTGAAGGCAATGTAGCCGACGGCGGCAAGCGTGTTGGGGCGTGTCGGGTGCGCAAACGCCAATATGATGTCCACATATGTCACGGAGGAGCTGGCGAGCCACCTGTTGGCGCGTGACATTCGGCGACGTGATGTGGATGTGAATGTGGATGTGAATGTGATGGAAGGCGAGGTGAGGGAGGGAGCGTGTGTGCAAGTAAGTGCACATTAAACACATGTGCAAGCAGGCGTAAAGGCGTGACACCGCAACGCTTCAAGACAGCGCAACAAGACAATATGATCCAGAAGCAGCAGTGCCTCGAGACCCGTGACCGACCGAATGGACATGGTGTCTCCGAGAAAGTAGACGTCACCGGACTGGGGCGTGAGCACAAAGTCGATGAGCGGCGGCCGCTCTCCCTCTGCACACACGCAATCACTGCAGTCCAATGGCGAGAAGAACCACGCGCCATCAGCCGTCTTGTCGCAGCTGCTGCCAACACACGTCGTTCCACTCGGGCACATGCATGCCCTGCAAGGGGGTGGGTTGGAGGACGATGTGAATGAGTGGGTGTATTGGGGAAGGGGAGGGGGGTAAGAGGTTGGTGCGGGGTGACTAGGGATGATACAGATGGCTGCTTTGCAGCCGCCCAGAACACACACACACACACACACACACACACACACACACACACACACACACACACACACACACACACACACACACACACACACACACACACACACACACACACACACCCGTCGGCGTTTGGCCCCTCTGCGGAGGACGGACAGAGAGCGGGCGTGCACTGGTCAACACTGGTTGCGCCCGCTGCTGGTGTGTACGGTGCGCTGTCAGGACACGCCGCGCACAGCGTCGACGCCTCTGCATAGAAGTTTGGCGGGCACGGCTCGCACCCTGGCGTGAACCCTGGTGAGGAGGGGAAAGGGGGAGGGGAAAAGGGGTGAGGTGTGTGTATGTGTGTGTGTGTGTGTGTGTGTATGTGTGTGTGTGTGTGCGTGTCTGTGTGTGTGTGTCTGTGTGTCTGGTTTTGTGGTGCGGTGATAAAGGGGTGCATTAACACCTGTGGGTGATGTTGTGCCGGGTGGACAGGGCTCGGTATCTGTGGAGGGCAGTAGCTCGTACACGTCCGTGTCATCAAAGCCATAGTACGGGCTGTCGTGTCGTTGCACGGCGGTGTGATGGGAGAGGAGGGGTGAGATGGGCGGTGGGTGTGTGAGGTTGGACGTAATCATGCAGCTGCACACACACACACACACACACACACACACACACACACACACACACACACACACACAAAAGTACACGCACACAAAAGCACACAAAAGCACACACAAGCACACACAAGCACACACACACACACATGGTGAAGAGGTCGACGCCGCGGTCCTGAGTGTTTTCCAGCAAGAGCACGCACTGCCCGAGCCGCGAGCGCACGCCCGCTGTAAACGCCCTGCATACACGCGCACGCAGACAGAGCGTGGCACACGCAGCCGTGCTGGTAGGCATGGGCTCTGTTCGCAACACAGCGGCGGTGATGCGGGCGTTGCGCGTGTGCGAAAACGGCAGCAGCGGTTGTGGTGCCGGCGCGTCTTTCGTGAAGAACAGATGGGCGGCGTGCGTGTCTGCGTCCACGAGACTGAGGGGAGAGAGGCGGGCAATTGAGTGTGGCAGGTGGTGGTGGTGGTGGTGGAGATGGTGGTGTGTTGGGTGTGTCGGGTGTGTCAGGGCATGAGGCGAAGGTGAGCAGGTTGCAGGGAACAAGCAGAAGCGTAGGGTGTGTGAGAGCGGTGTGGAAGCAGCAGAGGCAGTGCCGCGGAAGCAAATATGTTGATCAACAGCCCCAAGCACTGTACCTGATTTGGGTTGAGAGGGCAGTTGCGAGGGAGTCTGCAAAGAGCGTACACGTGCCCGTGTTGTCCTCGGCGCACACTTCGACGAAGAGAACAGAGGCGCACAGCCCATCAGCAGCGCATGCTTGCAAGCACGCGTCCATCTCCATGTTCTCTGTGGCGGTATGCAGCGGCTGCGAAAGGAGGGTGCGGTTACGCACGAGCGTGAAGCGCGCTTGAATGGACGTTGGCTCGATGGTGCAGTCTGCTGGGGACGCAGCGCCTTGGGCCATGGTGGTGAAGTTGCCAGGGCACGGCTCACACGGGGACATGCCGCCCACACCCTACAGTGCGGGGGAGGGAAGGGACAGGACATAACGTGAACAGCAGCACGTGTATGAAGAGCAGCCGAGACAACAGCGCACCAGGCGATGTGTTAAAGCAGTCACATGCACGTTGAGTAAGGAAGCGACGTATTAGGAAGCTTAACGCAGCGGGGAAACATGGTGCAGCAGACAATTACATCTTGACATGTGCCGACAACGTACGTAGGTTGATTTGGGGCAGGGAGAGCAGGCTGTTTCTGCTGGTGAGGGCGAGAACCCGGGTGGGCACGGCGGGGTAATTGCTGGGAGGATGACAAAGGCTGGGGACGCCGTGTACACCAGCTCGTGTATCGCGCTGAACACGAGCACGGCATAATCTGCGCCAGGCTCGTCCACGCTCACAACCTGTGTGTGTGTGGGGGGGAGGGGATGAGCGGGTGTGTTTGTGTGTGAGTGTGCGTGTTTGTGTGTGTGTGTGTGTGTGTGTGTGCGTGCGTGCGTGTGTGTGTTTGAGAGAGTATGAGAGAGGAAGATTTTTTTTTTTTTTGCGTAGAGGTTGAAAAAAATAAAAAAAAAAATATATTTTTGGTTTTTGTATTTTATATTTTTTTTTTATTTTTTTTTTTTTTTATATTTTTTTTTTTTTTAATTGTAGCGATTCAATGTCACGTGAAGTTTTTTAGTGAACTAGTCAAAGGGGTGTTCCCACAC